CAGAACCTCAAAGACCCTGTGGTGAGTTCATGGTCTCTCAGCTGCTACATCAAACTGGTTCCAGTAAATAGCCGAAACCCCCTCTAAATGCCAGGATGACAGCTTTACCGTTGCCCCTGTCCCATAAGATATCATTAACACTCACTTGTAAACAGGACTTTAAACTGTGGAGGAAGCCTGTTCTCATATTGTCATATTTTATTGCTGCAGCCGCCCCAGCCTCAGGATCTGGCCGTGGTTTGCTTCACCAGTGGAACCACAGGTACTGTCTGATTTCATACACGTAATTATCCTTCTCATTCGAAAAAAAACGTCCTTCAGTGCCCACTAACAACCTCTCTTTATGGCACTGCTGCAGTTTCCTTTTGCTGCGCAGGGCACTGCAATAATGTCTTGTTTATTTATCCAGGGAAGCCAAAGGGAGCCATGATCACCCACGGCAACATCGCCTCCAACACTTCCTCTGTCATTAAGATCCTGGAGGTCTGTCTACACTTCCACCTCCTTGTCTAATTGAGAACAGCCTCACATCACTTCCCATCTGCTTGTCTCTGTCTCTCCAAACTGTCCCTCTCCCTGCTGTGTCTAATGGTTTTGATTAATTGGCTGTTTGATTGCCCCTGTCGCTGCGAGGTACTTTAACTAATTGCCCCGGTATAAAGATTGTGCCATCTAACTTGATTGCTTGTGAGGCTGTCTGAACCTAATCTCTCCCCTGTGCTTTGCTCACTTTATTTCTCGTTTTTCTCTCAGGGTTCGTTTGTGATCCGACAAGAGGATGTGTCGATTTCTTACCTGCCTCTTGCGCACATGTTTGAGCGGATGATTCAGGTAGCTGATCCTCTTATCAGGTTGTTTGTAGTGTGTGTTTGTGGGTAAACACTAAACTGAGTGTATTTTCTGTCGCAGGTCTCTATGTTCTGCCACGGGGCCAGAGTAGGATTCTACCAAGGCGACATCTCTCTGCTAATGGACGACATTAAAACTCTCAAACCGACCTTCTTTCCTGTTGTGCCTCGTCTCCTCAATCGCATCTACGACAAGGTCAGAATATAGACATTTACTGCATTATCTAGCAATGAGAAGGCTCACATTGTTCAGGTTTAACAGGTTTATTACCAGGTAGGTTTACACGTACGAGGAATTTCACTTGGTGTCGTGGTGCATACAAAAAGGTAAAACCAGAATTAAAAAACACAGGTAGAGAACTAGAAAAAATTTAAAAATTAATAAAAAGTATAGTCAAATATATAACAATGGAATAAAAAGGAACAAAATATGGAATAAAAATCGGCAGTAATATAAAACAGATATTGTCTGTGCATTAATGTAATGCATAGAGTCTATGATGTGGCTGAGGTAAAGTGTCAGTGGACCTTGGACCCAATATTTTAAACCTTATTTCTGTTGTTTCTTACCTTAAAGATCCTGGGCTCGGTGACGTCCCCTCTGCGCCGGGCTTTGCTTCACTACGCCGTGAGGAGGAAGCAGGCGGAGCTCAGCAGCGGGGTGGTGCGGAACAACAGTCTGTGGGACCGGCTGGTGTTCAACAGGATTCAGGTCAGTTGCTGGGAACACACATGTATTTCCACCTGGATCATGTTTCACCTTTTATTTCTCAACAATTCCCTTGCTCTAGTAAAGAACTAAAGGACCAACGGCCTCTTCAGAAATCAACCCTCAAACCAAAAACATGTTGTTTTTAATGCAGAGGTTGTTTTTACGGAGACATATCATTAACAAGCCACTCTTTCAAAACATTGGGTATCTGGAGTGTATACCATAATAACCCCTTATAAAACACAGTCATTTTTTGGGGTCTACCTCAATCAAGAAACATGGGGAAACTAAATAAAACAACTACTACAGATTTGGTGTTTAGTCATTAATAACATATTTTCTGTTTATCCAAGGATCTGCAGTTGTAAATGTAGACTCGGCAAATAGTCAAAAAATGGTATCCAAACTTAACAAGAGAAGCAAAACTCTTCCAGCAATCAATGCCAAAATCCCCCAGACTCTTGTGGATTGATTTTGGCTCAGTATGATCCATGCCGATGGGAAAATATGGTCTAGTTTTAAAATGCTGTTAAAATGGAATTTAACCTGCTACCACAATATGATTGCATCTGCACTTCACACAAACAAACTTGCTTGTGTTTCAGGCCAATTTGGGAGGTAATCTGCGGTTCGCCCTGACGGCCTCGGCTCCCATCAGCCCCGCGGTGCTGTCCTTCCTCAGAGCCACCATGGGCTGCCTCATCTTCGAGGGTTACGGCCAGACAGAGTGCACCGCAGGCTGCACGTTCTCCATGCCCGGAGACTGGAGCGCAGGTAAAACACCAGCTGACTCTTCACAAATCAGAAATTATTCCTCCAACTGCGGGGAAATATATGTGGTTACATCAAAGTGGACAGTGCAGATAAAAAAGGCAAATACAATAAGTATAGAAATCACTCCATATTCAAATCAAATAAGTACATATGCATAGTACATTTAAAAATAAAAAAGTACCAGAAGGACTGCTATGTAGCTCACTTGGTAGAGATGGCAGCCCACATACTGGGGCTTAGTCCCCGAGTGGGGGTCCCGGGTTCGAATGTCTCCCCCCTCCTACACTGTCATAAAGGCTTTAGTGGCGCAAATCTTTAAAAAGAAAAAGTACCAGAATTACGAAATAGACAAAAATATAGTGACTGAAGTAGCATCGCGTAATAACAATACTACACCAAACTGTACAAGACTGTAAATTGAACGTGGTATCGCATATCAGTTTTTTTATATTTACATATATAAAGTACATCAGTGATATTACAGCCTGCATTAGTGTCAATAACGTCTTCTCCTGACAATTCCTTGTGTTTTTGTGGCTGTGGTGGTAAGTCCTGTCCTCTGCATCATGTGTGTTTGTCAGGTCATGTCGGCGCTCCCTTGCCCTGTGCCAAGGTGAAGCTGGTGGACATCCCTGATATGAATTACTATGCTAAGAACGGAGATGGAGAGGTGAGATAAAACTCCATTATAGTACAACATTTGACCACAGTGTCTGATGCCTGCTCACACTCACAGTTCTGTCCTGTTAGATCTGCATCAGTGGCCCCAGTGTGTTCAGAGGTTACCTGAAGGACCCAGAGAAGACGGCTGAGGCGCTGGACAGCGACGGCTGGCTGCACAGCGGGGACGTGGGACAGTGGCTTCCGGTAAGTCAGACACAAATAGGACTGATAACACCATCTGTATACCGCAGTATCAGGACTAAAACCACCACTCAGAGACAGTTTCATCCCACAGGCCAGAAGACTGTTAAACACCTGAACTTTTGAAACAACATCCATAACATTCATCTGTTTGCAACTTATATATATATATATCAATATTCCAATTACTTGTATATAGACTATTCTTGCACTACTACACTGTAGCTATGTACACATGACAATAAAAGCCTTGAGTCTTGAATCTGTAAGTAAGCTAAATATTTATCTCTCTGCCAGAACGGGACGCTACGCATCATCGACAGGAAGAAGCACATCTTCAAGTTGTCTCAGGGCGAGTACATCGCTCCGGAGAAGATTGAAAACGTCTACATGCGGTGTGTTCCGGTGCTTCAGGTGTTCGTGCACGGAGATAGTTTACAGGTAAATGGTTTTTAACTCACAGATGGAGATTCTAAAACATTTGCTGTTGTACAAGTTTCATTTTTAATTTCTTGTGTATTGTATTTGTCCAGTCTTACCTCATAGGCATAGCTGTTCCTGACCCTGAGGTGTTTGTCAACTGGGCTAAAGAGCGAGGATTTGTGGGATCCTATGAAGAGCTGTGCCAGAATCCTGTACGTCTTATTTCATTACATAACCATCTGACAATATTATATGAATTCCAGAAAATTGACATTTATTGGCTTTCCAACAGGATTTAACGAGCACAGTATTAGAGGACATGAAGGTTGTGGGGAAGGAAGCAGGCCTGAAGTCCTTCGAACAAGTAAGGCCTTGTTTTTGGTTTAAAATGTGGAAGCTACTATCCTCCAAGTTCTGACTTTTGTTGGGATTGTATTTCTTACCTTTCTCTTCTTTCAGGTGAAGGACCTCTACTTGCACCCAGAGATGTTCAGCGTCTCCAACGGCCTCCTCACCCCGACAATGAAAAGCAGACGCATCGACATCCGGAAATACTTTCAGGAACAACTCACAAACATGTACAGCAAGACAGCTGTTTGAAGGATGCACTCAGTAACTCACACACACAGAGAAGGGTACCTGGAGTCCAAGAAGGGAAATCATGTGAGACAGGAACCTGGGAGAAAGAAATTAAAATCCTATACGTCCAGCAGTGCCTTATTTTAAAATATACATTTGTATATATTTTGGAATATTGGTATTTTGCTTCAAAGAAGTCTTAACTTCCGTCCACCTCTTGCACATATGTATAGTATATTAACTTCACATGGAAAGTAACAGTGGGGCCAAACCATTTTTCTTATTTTTCTAAATACCAATCTCACTGTTTGTCATGTTCACTAATTCAGAGTTATAGACATTTTACAGATACATTATTGTTAAGTTGTAGATAAGTCGCAGAAATAATTAAGATCAAACTGCAGAGACGTTAAGTTAGACATTTATTTTACACTTTCCTGGTCTCGTGCAAGGACTTCTTAAAGGGACACGTTGGGTACTTGTAACTCAGATCTTGCATTAACTGGTTGTGTATTCTTTTTTAATAGGTTCTGGAAATGTTCATAAATTAGTGTGAGGGTGGAATTCACCTACAGTTAGACCACTAAAAGGGGTTTTAACCAGCAGTTATTTGTACAAAAATAAAAATAAAACCTGAACTGTACATACTGCTTTTATTGCCATTTGCTGACAGGACACTACTGACTAATTCCAGTGAAGTTAAACTGAAAATAAATCAAGCTTAGAAACGGACTGTTTTGTGTTATTCATATTAAAGAACACCCTGTAGTAGATATGGAAACATCAAGGTTTAACAACAGTAAGATTTATACAGTTAATTTATTTCATGATTGACTGTACATTGAGATGATGGCTGAAAAACAGATATTTAACAGATTGTCATATTAATACATTTTAAAAAGCTATTTTTAAATCCCACTCTAATGTTAAAGTATCCACTTAGTTATGTTAGAAAAGCTACAACTGAATTATTTAGAAAAACCTTCATTAATACAAACAGAAAAAAAGACAGTCAATGAAAAAAATTATTTTAAAATAATAAATAGTCAACTTCTTGGTATGACACCTTTGAACAAAAAAAAAAACACTAACATGATATGGGAGCCATCCATTTCACATAGCTCCATTATTTATCATACTGAGGCAGAACCTGATAAAGGTGGAAACAAAGGAGTGCAATGATTTAGTCCGAATTAAAAGACAACAAATGTTAACGTTGTCTTCTGACCCCGGTACAGAGAAAAGACTTCTCTCGGGTGCCAACAATGCACGAGGTTCTTTGCAAACAAAAACGGAACCACAAACAATAAAACAAAGAAAGGATGGTGTGAATTAAAGGAAATAATTGGTGTCATGAGTGTTGTCCACTAGAGGGAGCACCAGCCTTTGTTTCGACCTCGCTGCACAGGCACAACCTCACTTCACTTGAGTTTCATCCACAGTCAGGACGATGTAGGCACATAATGCACAGGTGATGTTCCCAATATCATCCTGTAGACCCCGATAAAAAGCCCCCGATAAAAAGCCCCCACACAACATGGCACAGAGCTAAACTAAGAGACAACCAGCACAAAACGAAACACATTTGTTTTAGCCGGTAACTTACATAACATTCAGTCTGTAGTGTTGATCATTCCAAACTTGGGTAATAAAAACAACGCATCACATATTGTTGTAACATTGCAGATGTGACTATTAAAAAAAACATTTCCTTGCTCATTTCCTGCTTTAAAAAACAAATGCTCCTAGACGTCTCGGAAAGCATGAAGCGTAACCGTGGTAATTAGCTCTGACGAGAACCATTTGATTCCTTTACTAAAATATAACAACATATTGGCTTCTCATGTTGGCTGATGGCTTCGTTAATGTGGCATTTCAGCTGCTGTAGAGGATGAAACATGGGAGTGTAGTGCAAGAGGAACGGGGGAGGGGGGGTGATGAGGCCGCAAGGAAACAATCTGATAATCAGGTTAAGGCCATTGCTGTCCGTTTGAACTGCACGAAGGAGCCTGAAAAGAGTGAAGTCCATTCACAGAGGCATGAAAGGAGCCCTTCCCGGTTCTTTTCGGCTTTCCTCCCTCAGTCGTCGGCGACAATGGACAGAGCTCTCAACTCGCCGAGCTTGGCCTCCGTCTCCCTCTCCCTCTGCTCGTCTGTCAGCCCTGCCTGGTCGATCTGGTCTGTTAAATCGCTGAAGATCGTGTACATTTCGGTGAAGTATACAACCTGTGGGGGGGCAGGAGGGGGAAAAAAATATAACGATTTAGTCTGTGAGGGCAGGAAGAATAGTCTTGACAGGTTTAATCCACGTGCGTTTCTCTTTAGGAAAAACTCCGTGATTTTAAATCCAAACTCCACTGACACGATGTAACCTTGCTTTTCCTTACACTAGTCTGAAGCTGCCGGTCTCATACCTCTTCAACCCCGCTAATGAGAAGTGATTCGAGAGGAGAAGAGGGAGCCCACAGATATCAAACAACTCCGACAAAGCCCCCAAAAACCCAGCACTTCAGTGGGTAGTGACCCTGCTTTTCTCTCCCAATCTGAACAAGAGATAGAGAGTGTTCACTGAAAGCTTTCTTGACACTTCCCACCCCTGTTTCTTCCCCTTAGTTCATGAGTCAGGGTCCCTCGAGAGTTGCTTTGATGATTAATAGACTTTAATCACATTACAAGACTCCAGAAGAGTAGGCAGAGAATGAAAGTACTGGGAAATACAACCCCTTGAAACCCACACACACACACACACACCTCAATATTTGTTCACGCAGCCATGCATACGATACCATGCTCTTCAGGGGGCATCACCCCCTCTGAAATGGGCCTTATTGTAGGCCGAGACAGCAAGAGAGCAGTGGGAGAAAATGCTTACTGATCACCGAGGACACAATGAGAGCTGGAAATAAAATGAAGAGTCATGCTTCTTATATAGCAACAGAACAAAAGTCATGTTTCTCAACCACCTTGTCCTGGTTTTGCCCAGACTGAGAGACCTTGCTATGTTTATACCAGTATTTGCCACCTAAACCACATGAGTGGGCCATAAGTATTGGGTTTCTGCTGTTTGTGGGGGTAAAGCGGATATTTTTTTTTCCTCCAAAAGTGGCCTGTTGAAAGGGCCATCGGAAATGTCCATATGACCAGAGATGATAATGTACACCAGATCAGCGTCTGAGTGCCCTCTGAAGCAAAGACACTCTACTATTACAATTAGTCTCGCAGCTATGGCCACCTACGGTACACAAAGGAGTCTTTGGGTAAAGCTTTCAATTACATGACTTCTGTCTGGGCATTTTAACATACCACGGTCCCAGCTGCTTAATATTTATACAGAGAGGTTACACTCTGACCTCTTAGCCTACGAAAGGAATGAATAATGTATGTTGCATACTACCCAGTAAGTACTTAAACACTGTGCGACCACTGTTTCAGGAAACAAAGAGAGTCGACTGTAAAAAGGACAAAGAAAGATTTTTTTTTTTTTAATGAACACATGCAGCAGAGAATGCAAAACTAGGAAAACAAAAAGGCAAGACAATGTCTCAATTCATCAACATCTGTACAGGTGGACAGGTCAGGCCAAGTGTCCCGCTGACAGTTGCTGGACAGGACTGGTGGAAGGGAAGCTGAGGCTCACAACAAAGCAGCCTTTGTGCCTTTTGCTGCTGCCGCTGGGAGCTGAGAGAGAGAGAAGGGAGTGGAGGACGAGCACATGCAGCCGGGATGAGGTCCGCTGCCCACCCACGTGCGGCTGTGTGTGTGTGTAAACATGTGTAAATGCTCATTCATGTGCGTGAGAATAAAGATGTAGAATAAAATAAGTGTGACTAATACAAAATGTAGCAGCAGGTGAAAAAAAAAAAGGTAGGGGTTTAAACTTCAAAGAATGCTCATTTGGAGTTCAAAGTACATCATAGAACTCTATAATTGTCATTAGGGTCTGCGTTAATCTGGTTAAGTAATTAGGAGTGTGCCAGCGACTGTCCCGAGGAGGAAATGACATGGCCAGGCAGGTCTGGGAGGGGGAGGGGGGGGACGGGGGACGGGGGACATGGTGGCGCTAAGTTGAGACGCCCAGCTGCTTTAAGAGAAGCTGCAGGTTAGAGGAAGACTCCAGACAGATGAGGCCTTCACTTGGGGGGGGGGGGGGGGGGGGGGGGTAATCACATTAAGAGAGAACTGAGACAGACAGACTGCCAGGTTTGTACACTCCCTTCCTTCTTTAGAACAACGCTCCCTGTGGGTGTGTGTATTCTTGGTGCATCTCCCACTAACCTGAGCCCTGATGAGAGCCTCGAAGCTGGGCTGGAAGTAGTCGATGCGGCTGTGGTAGAATTTGGGCATCTCGTCCAGCAGCTGCTTGTTCTTCACATCGAAGTCCTCTCTGACCGGTCGCAGCTCCTCTCTGGCCTGGGGTGAGGAGGGGGGAGGAAATAAAACAACAAGTCACCATCACTTCGGCAGGGGCAGTGAGTCAGTAGGGGCTTGGACTGGGAGCTGTAGGGTCGCCGGTTCAAGTCCTCCCGACCAGACCTAAAATATGGAGTGTGGACTGCTACTTGGAGAGGTCCCAGTTCACCTCCTGCCCTGCCGTGGTGCCCTTGAGCAAGGCACCGGACACCCCCCTTCCCCCCTCACTCCCATTGCTCCCCGGGCGCTGTGCAATAGCTGCCCACTGCTCCTAGTACTAGACTCCTGGTACTAGGATGGGTTAAATGCAGAGAACACATTTCACTGTGTGTGCTGTGTGCTCTGCATGTGTGACCATTACAGAGGGTTTCATCCCTCCCAATTCCATTCTAACTTTATATCACATCATTCACCTAATCGGAGTTTCATTCACCTGATCAGAGTTGAACTCATGCATTTTTGTGATTTCTATTCATGCTGTTGCCTGTGTTTAATATGTTTATTCTTATTGTATTTCTTATTATCCCTGTGTGTATTCAATATCTGTGTTTCTTTGTCATTCTGTTGCTGCTATAACATGAATCCCTACGCGGATCCATTATGTTGGATGTTACCCACCATTTTACACATTCTTCCACAAGAACTGTAGCTAAGTGTTGCAGATTTTGAGAAAAACAAACACATGTGAATAGAAACAAGTTTTTGGCACTGGAGCCTTCTTTAGGTTTCATTCTTATTGTTCAGAGAGATATTTGCCTAATTCCCACGGAGAAGCAGTGCAAAAAAAAAAAAGGGAAAAAAGGCTGTAATCACGACCACAGTGAGGAGGAGTGGGTAATGTGGGCAGACTTGGCTGTGAGTGGACTCCAGCACCACGGATCTGTGTGTGAATGTATTAGTGGGTAGTCTACTGTAGGCATGGAGTTATGGAATGCACAATGAGTATGTGTGAGAGGGTGAGAATTTCTTTATTCAAGGGAAGGGGGGAGTTGCTATATTAAAACAAAAACATATTGTTTATCCGCTCACATTAGTTAGTTTTCTCTATGCCGGTTGAAATGGCATACGAGTGTTTTGTCAGGATTATTTCTTTAAGTGCGCAGGGATCCAAAGGGCAGGGATGTAGGGGCCTCTTCAAGGCTTTGTTCCCCTGACAGTGCTTTTCTCAATGTGTGTGGGCGGCTCGCCATGTGAGGATGTGTTCGAGGCAATAGCATAGGCAACACTGCAGCGCTATCTGTGAATGTGTGCGCTTGTGTAGTGGCCTCACGGTGTGTGTGTGTGTGTTTGTGTGTGCGTCTACGATTCTCAATTACGTGCCTGTAGATGTGCAGCAGTGCCTTTTTGAAAAAGCACTACTTGAGAGCCTGCTAGCTTGCGTGGGTGAAGGAGCGCACATGTACAGTATGCATGTGCTCAACTATTTTTGTTCATATCCAGTCAGCATTTGTGTCTTTCTCCACTTATTGTGTCCTATTTACAATGCATGGTGAGAGCAGGTGAACCGTGCCCCCCCCCTGCAGGTAGACAGGGGGGTGGACCGATGCAAGCTTTACCTGATGTAGTTTGACCATAACGGGCCCGGTTTTCTCCTTCTCTTCATACTTCTCCACTTTGGATTGCAGCCGTTTGTAGTCCTGCAGAGCCTGTTCCCGGCGCTTCACTGCCATGTTGAGGCTGGGAAAGACGCCACTGTACCTGTGACAAACCAGCACATAGACAGCCTTAGACATCTCTGACAGCACCAATGGGCCACTAAACTAAATGCAGACACCAGTGTGTGTGCATGCAAGCAAAAAACACTCACACCAGAGTAGTGGAATCGTAAAAAATACACCATTTTCTAGGAACCAAAGTTAACAAAATCATTAAAACAGCTTTATTCGCTTTGTGAAATTAGGCGGCTTGCATTCTGCACGGCATCCTATCTTAATAAAAGTCGTTATGAATTAATAAAATCCATCTCGTCAACATCTTATTGTAGAGGTACTCTGAAACCCCAGAGGACAACTCTGCATTAAACCTCCTCTAATCTATTATCTAATTACTGTAGTTCAAAATGGCATGAAACAATTCATTTTGTGACAATTATCATAATTCAAATGAAAATATATTCTTGCAACGAGAATCCTAGTGTTCAGCCCTAAAAATAGGAAAACACTCATCTGTAACTTAGCAACAGGAGTCTGTGCTTCATCCTGGGACTTGTGCGCTGTTTGTGGATGCTTTAAAGCAGGAATAGTAAATATTCCACTCAATATATTTAATACATATACAAATGAAGCTGAAAGGATTGATAGCTATCATTTGAACTACAGTATTGGAGTCTCTTCTAATATATGCATGATTGATATAAAATGTGCTTTATGAAAAGGGCCCAGCATCATGTGTTTAAACTGCAGAAGTTATGCATCATTTTCATTAGATTAAAATAAATAAAACATACAAATACAATTATAAGATAGAAATAAGACAGCCGCATGATGTATAATTAAATGTCAAGATGTCATTAACAAAAAAGCAGCAAAGAAAACTTAAGAAAAACATTCAGTGGTGTCTTAGTCACAAGATGACACAAATCAGTGACAGTGTTTTTAGAAAACAGGCCACAACATTATTCAAACAGGTGCCTGCCACATGTGAGTCAGTGATCAAAACAGTTGTAATGAAGGGTGAGATATAGCGTTTTTCAATGACTCATTTAAAGCATTTCATCAACTGTGTAGGCACAGGACTACACTAGTTTATAATGTGAGCCCATAGCGGTATTAAGGCACAGAATGTGTGGGCTTCCTGGGTTACGCTTCTCTCCGTGCCAACCCTTGCCCTGCTCTGTGCAGCGCATGAGGTAATAACTTAAAACCTGTGATGTGATTGTGAAATCCTGGTTTGTGCACCTTACCACAGGGCAAGAGGGTGTGTGTGTGAAGGGGGGGGGGGGGGGTAAAGAAAGTGACGCAAAGTGAAGCAGACAAGCACGGATTGTTTCCTACAGGAAGTGGAGCAAGGAGTGGTCTTGTAGCGTTTGAGTGACATCACGGAGCTCAGCCCAACCCTGGGGCCCACGCTCTACCGCTATTTATAAAATACCACTTTGGCCCAGTTTATGGCAGGGGTGGATGCTGATCCTCAAGTCTACTATCTGCTCCAGTGTACACATACTTCAAGTGCCAAGGGATTATGCAACTGCCTTCCAGGCATGACTGCTTTCCAACACTATTGGCCGATGACAACGCGGCAACAAACCGACACGAAGGCTGATCACGTTCTCACCGGCGCGTTCACCTGGCAGCACGGTGTCATTTACTCATGACACATCATCGTGGCACTCACAACACTAACAGCAACCACTATGTTTCAGCACACTGAGACTTAAGGGCCACTGCTCTCCTGAAGTAGGAGGCGGAAGAGCTAGACACAAAGCCAATTTGCTTGTTAACCCTTTCCTTTCCTTTTCATGCTGATGTCTCACCGTTACATCCCGAGCTCTCTGTGTCCAGTGATCCTGCTGTGAGAATATGCGGCAGTGACCCTGGTTGAAGGTCAGCCTACATACTTTGTAATGATAGCTACTGGACATTTCCCTCGATGTCCTGGCCTTGGCTGGACAACTACCGGTCAGCGGGATAGGTCTGAATCTGCGGTCCGCCTCGTCTGGATGAGGTCTCACCCGGTTGAGGGCCGCACGGGGGCCAAGTGCCCACCACTGCCCATGTGACAGGTCAGGGTGTGGTGAACAGGCTGGATGGAAATAGCATCTGGACCAGAGAGTATGTTTATGAGCAGCTGCCAATCCACAGCCAGGCCGATCTGACCCCAAGTCTGGTCTAGACTCCCTCGGTCTAGGAGGCTGGCTGTCCCTTTTGACATCACCCTCACTTAACTCACTACTGCGAAAAACACACAGAAAACCACAGAAAATAAGAAAAAGGGAATTGTTTTTGTACAAATTACCATCTCTTAAGTGTCACAGAGTCAGATTAAGACTTAAGAGAATTCCTAAAATATGATTGCTGTGAAAATAAAATAACTACCACCTGTTGTGCAAATGGTTAAGTGGGCCATTGGAACAACAATAATTGTGACGAGCAGAAACTCATTTGTCTCTGCAAAAGGAAAGTTTGATCTGCCACGACATGTCTCGCGTCTTGTTGATCAAAACAAAGACAACGTATGCAGCCTGGATACATGATACACCCAGATAAGATCGGGGAAATGCAGACAGACAACCTCAGAGCAAACATTCTGGGCACATTTCTTTAAAAAAAAGTGCCCCCTCCCTTAACTAAGGCCTAATTCCCCCGTTGGCTGCAGGCCTCACATCCTGCTCCTGATTGAGAGTCATAGCTCAACCCGGGGCAGAGGTCTCTAAACAGGCTTGACTTCTGTCTCACCCAAAAGAGCATGGGAGCAGAAGGGTTAGGGTGAGGAGGCCTAGATAACACAAATGCCTCAATGCCCACGCACTCACATAAACACCATGATGTCACTCTCTGACCCGCTGAGTGGACACAAATCAGGTCTAGGCTTGAAAGAGAAAAAAAGAGACACAGGGGGAGGAGGGGGGGGGGGCGGGCTGCCTCTTCTTACTTTGTTTATTGTATATTTTAACACAAGTATTAAGGATGCCAAAATCTTAAGTAGCAGCAACACCTGGACACGAGCACGTACCCGACTTGCATACTTACACACACACTCAACCTATTCAAGGTCTTCCATTAAAATTCTCCTTTTCAACTCTTCTCTAATTGTTTTTATGATGACACGAGATCACCAATAGAGTATGTAGCAAACAATGAAGAAATGTTCATTAGTGACGGACTAATGGAATCTTAATGGAAGCTTTAAAGTATAGCAGCTTTTGTGTCTCAGTTCTTTTAGAAAGACACTTACTAATAAAACTAATAACCAATAGTGCTGTGTTTTTAAGAGGGAGGGGGGGGGGGGGTAAATAATGAGGCCAGTTTAGCTTGGCTTCAAAACTATTTCCTCTGCTCTATTTCAGAATCATGCCAATGACTAAGTTTATGGTCTAAAATACTGTATTTATGACACAGCACTCCCTCTAAATCTGGGCTGGGGTTGATGTTTGTGTATGCATGTGTGTGTATGTTAGTGTGAGAGAGTCCTGAGACAGTTCTCCTCCTCAACCAATCCACGGCTCTGGGCCCAGGAAGCTGGGCCCTTTGCCATATTATGAGCCCGCCCACACGTCCGCCTGCCGCCCACCAGGAAGAGGAAATTAGAACCATTCCATCCTGTCATTGCTCCGCCACCAGAGCACACAAGGAGGAAGAAGGGGCTCAACACACACACACACACACACACACTAACCTGACCTATTCATGTTTTACACAGGAATCTCTTCACACTGCTTATTTAAAAAAAGAAATGAACTAACAAGCTTCTGGGGTTCAACATAAACTTGCAATAAAAACATGTGCACACGCTCCTCTACACAGCATATGAATTATCTTCGGGGAGGAGCCAAGAGGAGGAAGCAAATCCTTAACAAGAGCTCCGGAAGAAGGGTGGGAGAGTCCAGCCACTCCCTCCTGTACCTCTGCTTTGCATGTGCGTGTACAGTATGTGTGTGTGTGTTTGAAAAAGTGCAGCTTTAGGAATGGAATAGCACTCACCGCCTGCTCAAATGGGGGCGAGTATTAGGAACCAAATAAACTTTCTTCCAGACGCACTACAACCACAGCAGCAGTACTAGACCCTAGCTCAGTTTTACAGTCTTGAGGCTTAGCTGTGGTCCAGCACTACCAGTGTGAAGAACAGATCCCGGTCAAATTATAAAAATGTTACAAGGCACTGGACGTGATCTGCCCAGTCTGTCATTCATAACAACATCTGGAACATTGAGCCACAAAAAGTGAACTAAAAGACTTTTTTTCACCTTCCTATGATTTTATAATGCACCTATTGCCTCTGTATGGCCCTATGTTAACAAAACTCCACTAACCTGCTTCAAACAAATAACTTAGAAACTTATCAGAAACAACTTTCTGACCCTAGGCTGGTAAAGACACATTTAAAAAAGGCAGCCGTTTCACTTTGGCAGTAACAAAAATAAATTCTAGAGTGAGAGAAATCCAGATGCACACTTACTTTTTCAGAGGGTCGATAACAGTCTTCTGGATCTGGTTGACCTGTAATGAAAACAACAATTGTTCAAATAAGAAATAGCACTTCTATATAAAAAGGGAAGAAACATTACAAATTGTTATTCATTGTCAAATTGAGTTACATCAAAATAGCGTCTTCATCTCTCGCTCATTAGCTGCAAAGTGATAGCACTGAACAAACATTAACAATTGTGTGTGTATTTCCAAACAGAGCACACAAGAAAAAATAACACGGGGAGTCGGGGGGGGTCTTGCAAAGAAACTTTCGTGACGTTGACTCTTTTATTGTACACAAGCCCCGAGGAGGAACCCTTGAATATTCATTGAGCTCGCGATACAAAAGGATGGAACTGTCAGGGGACGGACATGAAAGCAAAGCCCAACTGATTTCAAATCCTGTGGAGGGGTGGGCTGCCTTACAAGATGAAAGTTCTTTGCAAACAAACATTTTAACAATAACAGTTTATATTTTTCCTGCATTCTCCTTCTGGTTACCAGAACCGACAGGGGAGGGAGGGAGGGAGGGGAAGGGGGGTGTTAAATGGAAGTAAACGAACATCTCATCTCGAGGCCTCCAGCCCCGAGTCTCATCGACAGAAGTTGGCGCACAATTAATAAAGTTTCCAGCGTCATTTACATTGCAGATTCAAAAACAACTGTTACTGTTAAATCTCCGAGCATGACAGAAAGTTAGGGTGAGAGTGAAGAGTAAATGCAGTGAAGGAGAATTTAAAACAGAGATATGTGAAGTGACAGCTGCATGAGAACAGTGAGCAGCTCCACTAATCATATGTTCACTCGTGATTCGAATGATAGTCAATCACACGGCAACGAAAAAAAAGCGAGATCGCAGCTGTGCTCGGCAAAAATGCCCTGACCATCTCCGAGAACATACAGCAATACTCAGCGCTTCACACATTTCCCAGTACAAAATGGTTGATTGTGGTTTGAGGGAAAACAGAGAACCAATAACAAATCAGTACAAGGGAATTCACATTTTCTTTGTTTTACATATTCACACCAGCACCCCCCCCCCCTTCTCTGACTCGAGCTGTGCCGTTGCTTCTAAGGTGAGAGCATGCAGCGAGGAGGGAGAACAACAGCGGCAGATTTGCTTAAGCATGCTGGTGCCCTCTAACCTCTGCCCCTTCCCACAGAGAGGGGGGGGGGGGATGGAGCTATTCCTTGGAGGCCCTGCAGAGCCCGAGGCTGACGCTCCAGCAGTAGTCTCCATCAGTGAGTCACGGGGCAGAGGCCATCCCGGCACACAGGCCTCCCAAAAATACACACAGATCGCAGAGGAAATCAATATCCCTCCAAACGGAGCATCCTCTACCGCGCTGCCGCCATCTTCACCGGGGCTCAGCTTCGGCAGCAGTGTGCCGGGGGGGCCGAGCGCCCTCCTCAGCCCCAGAAATAAACACACAGACCTGGGCCACTGCTGCCTTCATTATCGCTGCACGTTTTATCTGCTGGCTCTCTCACTTGCGCGCCCCGCGGGCAGAACATCTCGTCTCAGCGCGGAGAAGAGCAAAGGGTGGATGCTTTTGTGTCTGTTTTTGCAGGAGCAACAGTGTTTGCTGTCGGTGCCGTCAGAATCAACAGTCAGCTTGAAGGGGAAGATGGAGTTGTGTTCCAGTGTGCTGTGCAGGATTCTAAACACCTAGCAAACCTGGGGTGATATTCCACATCGCAGGCTGACCAAAAAGTGCTCACAAATCACTATTTTGCCTTTAGCTCACTCTCAGCCACACAGCCCAGCCCAAACCTGGAACTGAACATTGTGTTAAGGCGAGGATTTTTATTTAGTAAGACTGAAGGAACTGAAAAGAAAATCAGGTGTGACCTAGCTGTCAGAATCCACTCCAGATGAAAGTGTGTTAAAAAAAACATACAACCACGTCAATATAGTCGGTGACTGTTGTCCTCCACAAGAGAAAGACTGAGCTGGGATCAGAGTGCCTCACTGAATCAATGTCAAACATGTCCCAGTCAGAAACTAACAGGAAAAAGACACAACATGGAGACAGAACTAAGTGCTATAAAGACACGCTGTTCCTTCTGCTACAAGAGACTGGTTGGAATATGAAAATATGAAATCACATTTAAATAAGAGATGACTAAGAGACATGATGAGGGAACTGAGGAGAAATAGCAAAGATAAAGGTTACCGTTTGGCCAGAAAGTAAAACTAAGCAGGGAGCATTTGGTGCTGGAATATCTTCAAAGTTTGATCTTTAAATGTTGCGGAAAAAAGGTGAATTTTGAGTACTCATTGACACAATCCAAAAGACAAGTGTGCAAGGCAGTTTTGGTGTAATACTTATGCCTCAGTTCCAAATTCAAAAGGCAAATTTGATATGGTAAAAAAATCTGAAGAATGTTAAAGTTACTCTGTTCTGAAAACACTCAAACTGGCAGGAGCGCTCTCCTAGGCACTCGACCAAGCCAAGTCCTGGAACACACACACACACACACACACACACACACACACACCACGGGTCACAAACCCACACACTCAGTCCAACCCACAATCTACTTTGTCTAGTCACTCAAAATGGCTCTGGTCAAATTTGATGAGGTGTGAGTTAAGCCCGTCTGAAAGTCTGGAATTTTACAGCTGAAGAATGAATAGAAGAACCAAAAAGGAAACGGCATCCTTGCCCTAATCAACCTTATATGTTAAAGGTTAATGTACGTTTATTTATATAGAATATTTTAGACACAACAGCAGTGTGTCTAAAACGCCTTTATTGGACTCCTTTGTTTACTTCCGTAACATCAAGATCATCAGCTGTAAAATAATAATCAAGTTTTCAATGAACTTTAATTAATTAGTTTTAACTTGAAGACATTTCGATGAAAGTTTGAATTGCATCATGGACATAGTTTCCCTCACATTTCTTGAGAATAGGTTAAGGTTTGATTTTATTTAGAAATTGAGTGTAGGTCACAAGGTTACGCAGAAAATATAAACCAATTTGTACAAATCCACATTTCCAGAGATACTACATTACAATTGTATCACGGAATAAACACAATGATACTTCTTTAGGCAGGTATTAATGTCTCCCTCTTGTTGGATCATTGTATGTTTATGAACATATTGTGGTTCACAAGTGAATGTGAAAAGAAGGGAAAATAGTTTGCAGGCAACAAATGTAAAAAAGCCTAGAACACCTAACAGCAGGGCAATGAGTCAAGAAAACACAGATGGGAAAAAGTCAATCGGTATATGCCTTAATGTGATCTTCTGTATTTTTTCCTCTTGAAAGTCTACCCTTCACAGTGTAATGCCTGGAGCATGCACACATGCAGTGCTACTATGATTCACATTATAACTACCTGTGGCCATGATTCTAATCAGAAACCTGAAGTGCATCCGACAAATAATCTGACAGCCAAAGAAGAGATCTTCACAAAGTGCAGCAGTTCTGGAAACAAATGTCTGCCTATCTATGGTTTCCCCTTAGGACAAAAATATACAAGAGTGCAAAACACACATATTACAGGAAAACAATTCAACACTCTAAATATCAAAATACAACATAGGAAGTGATAGGACTATACTGTAGCCGTACTAGCTGTGTGTTTGCATTTGATATGGCAATATCAGGCTGGGTCTTCCTGTTGGATTGTGTGTCCGTCTGTAAGTATAATCAGACACTTTGGTGATTACTTGGATGTTCTTTATTCTAATCAAAATGTAAGCCAGGTAAGGTGTCTGTATGTATTATAAAATCAAGCCAAAAGAAGTTGTTACACAGGAAGCAATCACATTTTTGCGGTAACTTTTCAGAACTATATGAGGTTTGATGTGACAAAGGGTTGAACTGAAGTCAAATATGTTAAGTTAGCTAGCAGTACAACAGACTTGCTCACTATGAAAGCTGTGAACAAAGATACTTCAATATAATTGGTGGTAGGACATACATTTTTTTTCCTTTTGAGAAAGGGCCTTTCCATTGTATGAGTTATTTTAGACACCAGTGAGTCACACATGCATCAATCTCCACAGCTGATAACCAGTAGCCTGAGCTTATAGAGGATAATGCCACAGATGCTTTTCAAAAGCAGCAGAAGGAAAGACATACGGATCGTTTTTAGTCCACAGGCTTCACAATATTGACAAATATGGAAACACGCATTTCCAACAACAAAAAAAATGGTCTAGTTTCCTACTTTGTATGTCTGAGGAAGGACATTTCCCCCGATACTAATCTAACGGTGTCCGTGCCAATGGCGATTGCCAAGGAAACAAAGCCGAGAGAGACAGCAATTAAAGTCAAATAAAATAGTTTTAAAAATGTGTGAAAGAATGCGAGTCTGACCTTCTCCTGGTTGAAGGAGTCCATCCTCTTCATGGCTGTGTCTAAAGCAGTCATGGAGTCCAGGAAGGCCTGGTCCTGCTCACACAGCGGGTTGCTCAGCAGATCCCCAGAGATCTTCACTGCTGCTTTGGACATGGCTGGCACACACAGAAACAAAAAGCAGATGTTAAAACAAGAGTTAAATAACTTATTGAAAAGACAATCTTGTAGACATCAGCCAATATAAAATGGTTACTGAAGATGTCCTTGTCTACACATCAAAATGTAATTCAACACGATATTCTTATTTAAAAAACAAAACTGTTTTAGAAGATTACCCTTAGGCTCAAAGTGTTCAGTGCTTGTTTGTGGATTGGTCTTCAAAATAGGACTTTTGAGAAATGAAGACAAATAGCAGACGGCACAGTGCTGCCCCCACTTTTCAAATCTGAGGGGTTGCTTGGGTTGTCTGCCGTGTTGAATATTTACCATCGAGAATCCTTGCAACGCGTCTACACTGACAGCACCAATTACTGTAAATGTGCACTCGTGCCACTTTGTTTAGACACAGAGCACATATCAGATTATGGCTTCACAGTCAAAATAAATGAGCCTCACTGAGGAGATGCACGCTGACAGGAGAGGCTATGGTGAAAATGGGCTTCGTGGAGATTTGGAACAGCCATCGGTCTCTTTTCACACTCCCTCTGGATTCTCTCAAGACCAATTTTCAACCAATCAATTATCACTGTGAGGCATTTCTGCATCTCTCGCCATGTGACAGGTAACAAATTGCTTGATTTGGCCTTGTCTGATATGACCGAGAGACGTGTTTATTATAGGGTCTTGAAAACCAAAAAAGGTGACTTAAGGCTGATGATTTAATTATGTGGGTTCGTAAGGTCCAAATAAGTGAAGCTCAAGTCCCTTGTAATCACCTGGGGCAGAAACAACATGAACAGTTCCTTAGGATATAAGCCCAGTTATCTCTGCCACTTTCTTTGCCTTTGTTACTTTGTAAGTATGTGAACCACCTTAAAACATATTATTGTCCCTCGGCAGATAATTGCAAGTGAGTTCAATAGAGCTCTGCATAACACCATCCTTGAGTTGATAAATGACAGTCAATATAGAATCAGTGTATTATGCAGTGCTGCCATGCAAAGTAGGTCCAGTTCTTTGTTTGGAAGCAGTTGGTGGAGACCTGTGCAACAGATGGAATCCATTAACGATAATGAGGGCCTGACAGCTATGACACTTTGATGATGCACACATCCATATTTCAGAGCACAAAGGAGAGGAAATGAAGAAACCTCTCACTCCTCCACCCCCACAACTGACTACTTACCACAGGCCATGTCTACTGCTGCTTCCCAAATACACAACTCCCAAACCAACAAATAAGCAAATAAAAAGTAGAGTACACATGGTTTACCTACACTCAGATATTCAAAACACACACACACACACTGGGATGGCCTGGAAAAACCTGTCCAAGATTAAAGAGGAGGCTCGCACACTCTCGTCTCATTTGTCGAGTCGTTCAGAGAACTGAGGCGCCACCGAACAAACCAAGACAACCAACGCTTCTTTCTAGCCCAGAAGAACCTGCCAAGCAACATCAAGTATGTTGGGGAACAAGTGGAGATCAATGGCGCACCAGGCGGTAACACACAGATTGGTGGCAGAACACACCTAAATCAGCCTCAGTGCTTTTCTTCATGTCCTTGTGAAGCTTTTTCGTCTGATCCTCCAGCCTGTAAGACAAGAAGAAGAATGATCATCAGCCGGCTCCATGTCTAGTAACGCAGCAAAGCTTCGGCAGCACTGACAACCATTTGAAATATGGGCTGAAATGTATTAAAAAAAAATTACATTAGTCAGAGACAGAACGGGAGAAGACACCATCTCAATAAGCGTATAATTAATCTATATACATATAATTATTATGCGCTTATTGAGATGGTGTATATATATATTTCAAAATCTATTCAATCCTGTCAATACATATTGACATGGAAAAAGAACACCTAGAAAAGGAAATTAGTATAGATAAAAAAACATGGTTCAAGAAGGAATTACACATTTCAATGATTCCACATAAAATGTTATTATAACACCCGTTAGCTAATTAATAACACAGGGAATCCTTCTTGTTACTGTCAACTACATTTCCGCTCAAAAGCATTAATGTCTTCAATCATTCCACTGCACATATTCCATTGATGGGTGTTAAAAATGGCAATTACCAGACTATGGAGGCAGAAAACACACGCCATTCATTATATCAATTAAGGCAAACGAGGGGTTTAGAGTCTCCCCTGAGACTGCTGTCATATCACTTCTCCTGGTTTGATGGAAAAGGGAACATGGTGGTTTCATTTCCATCTCTGCTTTGAGGGGATTATATTAACAAGGAGCACAATAGCTGTGTAATCCCATGGGATTTCTGGTGGGGGCACTATGGCCACTGGCCACAAGATTGAAGGACATTGGAAACCTACATATGGCTATGAAAACCACAAATGGCAGTCTTCACACTCAGGGATTTGGCAGTTTTTTTTAAATTGATCAGCAGCTGGGGAATAAACAAACGGTGGGTTACTCTAACATAATCACATGTATGTACCAAACATCCATGTGATTATATGTTTTGTTCCCTCTTAAACCTAAGGAGCTGGACATATGAAATGTTGATAATTATTGTTTTTTTTTTATCAGTGAAGCTAAATGCCTTTAATATGTTTAAAACACTATCTCATGCAGCCCAATTTCATAAAATAAAACCGGACAAAGTGACCGGACGTCAATGTTAACATATTAAACCAAATAGCGTGTGCACAGTAATCCAAAGAGAAACAAAATGTCAGTCAGACTGTATTTGAAACAGCTTGGATTGAAGATTGTAATCTCTGACTGTATTTTCATTTAAAGTATTCATTTGTTTGCTGCAAAAAATAGTAGTTAACTGTCAGGAAGCATGTTCTAAGGCTAAATAAAAATCATTAATTATTTCCCATCATCACTCGTCCTCTACACGCTTTTGTTTGTCTTGACGTGTTTTAGGATTTCGCAGTGAATCGCCACAGACCAGATGGAGGTTGTTCCAAAAATGTCATTTGCAGTAAATGATGTAACTTCATCCCTTATTGTTCACACCACAGGGGGAAAAAACACTGTCAGAACAATCTCCACAGTCACTTCTTCATTTCTCTCGCCAATTAGATGGAACTGGGTCTCATAAGACAAATCAGCCTTTCCTCTAAAGCAATCAAAAGATACTCTTGGAATTAGACATGTATAATCGCAGCAAATGCTACACACTGTATAGTCAATGTTATTAGCAATACTTTATGCAGGGTTGAGTCAGTGTTTCATTATTAGAGGGCTTATTCCTGTTTTACAAGATTGCCCAGTAAATACCTCGACAATTAATGCCCTGTGAAGAGTTCAGGTTTATGGACATAAGACATTGTTTTTCATCTAGATATCATTTAGTTTACCGAGGTGGCAATATTTTGTCATATAACAACGGTGACATTGTTAAGAACATCTGGAAATACTGATATGTGTTTTTTTATCATTCATTGCTTTGTGATGGAGATATAATCAGTTAAGACATCATACTTTGCTTTGAACGACAGTGGAGCCAAAGGAGGGCACCATGCAAAACAAAATAAAACTAAAATAGTCTTTTAAATTGGCTGACACAGTTAACACTCGAGAGTAATGAAAAGAGACAAATATGGAATGAGGAAAATAACAGTATAACAGTAAAACCCTGCCAGTCATGGGTTGCAGGATAGTGGGTGAAAGTGTCTCACTATGTAAACAAACGTGCTCTGAGTCCAATGCCTGTACACTCAAGATGTGTTTTTGCAGAGCTTGTTTGTGCATGAGAAAACTCGTGTTCCAGATAGTACCTCCTACTTTCAAATGTGTTGCACAATACTGTTGCATCTTCCCGACTCTGTCAGCGCTGACAGTGAGAGAGCCGTGCTGGCTGAGTGCCAGGTGAGCCTGGAGTCTCTTTCCAAAAGGTGCTAATGGAGCGGCCTGCTAGAGCAGCTGCTGCTCTTTGCTCCAGCGCCCCAATGTTCGGCCTGTGTAGCCACAATTATATGAAAATCACACTACTGCATTTTATTATAGGACATCACACACCGGGTGCAACGACACTGGAAGATGATCAGGCAATCAGCCCGGTTTGACCATTCAACACCATTTCATTTGGGTAAATACCTGATCACTGCCATCCACCACACAAGAACCAGGTCGGACAATGCTGTTAAGCCAATTAGCATTCAGAGCTGCTAATGCAATGTAAGAGAAGTGAGGAATTGATTGCATGTTTGTGTTGTGTGTGTGTGCGTGTCCAGCTTAGAGCGAGAGGGGAACACTGCGATAACAGATTGGGGGATGTGTACTAATTGCACGTATGTAATTGGTGTATATGATATCTAAGGAAATTCTTTATATTAAAGCTCTTTTTCCCATAAAGAGCACATTTATTTTTGTGTTTAGTTCACTATTAAGTTACAATTATAAACAAAAAAAGATTACCTACAAAATCAGACAGTTGACGTTTATGAATGATATGCATTTAGGTTAAAAAAAACTAAACTAATATTGTTATCTGATGTTTACACATTAATTAAGGCCTCAAAAAACCCTGTATTAGTCGGGGCTTAAAGGTCACCTATTATGCAAAATCCACTTGTTCATGTCTCTTCTACATCAACATGTGTCCCCTCTGTGGAAAGAGATTCTGAAAGTTTCAGGAAAAAAGATTCTCTCACTTTTTGTCCTGATCCATTTATATAAAAACCTGTCTGAAAATGAGCTGATCAGATTTTGACCACTTTATGATGTCATAACGATTTTTTGGCTTGGTAACCATTAGCCAATCACCAACCAAGGTAACCCGCCCCCCACCTTATCACCTGAGGGGATTATGGGATGCTACAATGTATGATCTGTTTGGTGTCTCGAGGCCAAACACTTCAGAGACATGTTTTGTATATATCTGAGACCTATAATAAAGTAATAAAAAACAGTATCAATAGGGGACCTTTAAGTTAAACATGTGCATATTGCAGTTCTAGTTATTACAGATTCAATAACATGAATCCATTGATGTCACACGTCAAGTAACACCAAAAATATTTGTCTCAGTCAGTCAGACAGGAATAATGGTGAAGCCTACCACATGTGTTTAGGCCGCAGATGCCCCACAGTGTGTTGATATGTATCTCTAGGGCGGGGAACCTAAAAGTCTGTACATGCCTGCTGCTCTGACTCATCCATAAGGTCTATTGGTACCACACCTTCCTAATAATGGGCCCTCCTACTCAACAAAACCTGAGAGGGAAATGGTGCTCCCACTCATTCTGCCGGGCCCTCGGGGAGTTTCTATAACCTCAGCTTTGCAGTAAGAAAAGGCCCCCCATGTACCGAGGTGTCAGAACCCTCCGATTCTTCCTTGTTTTATAGAAACACTGACATCGTGTCACACAATTTGAAGAAAACTGGTTAAATAACAGGAGTTGATTTTTGGTTTGCCTCTAGTGTGTCATCCACATGTTAATGAAATACTTTCTACATTTCAGACACTTCTTTTCACAGTTCAAATGATTGACATGTTTTGTAAAACACAGTAAATACTTAACATTTGTTTAAATACATTTCTGAAAAGATCTCCCAATGTTTTAGGTTTCCAACATCTCGTTTTTTCTACAGTAAGTCTGATATATATTTTTCTCTGACTAAGGATTACACAATGACACTATTTGATGGAAAAGAGCATTGTCAAAATGCAGACTTACTTTTGGAGTTTCTCATATTCTCGCTCGAAGTCTCTTTCAACCTAAAAAAGAAAATATTTCACGTCAAATTCTTTGATTTTTAAATGCTTCCTAGAACTATTACAAGATATGAACGTTTATATATATAGTCTATGGTATGAATGAACACATGATATTTGTATGATGTCTGAAAAATGACATGTCCCAAACACAAATTCAAGAACAAAGTTGTGAACAAAATTCCTGTTTACATGTTTGCATCATCTTAAGAAGAAAGACGTTTAAATTAATAAGTCCGATAACAAATAAAAAACCGACAACCCTGTTGTAATCTGAATGAATTATATTGTTGTTGGAGTCTTAAGGCGTGTGCCACTACTCAACGATGGCTCAATAGTTCACCAATTTATACCAAATGTACTTTTTTCGGACTGGCATTATTTTCAAAGAGAACAGCTAGTGAACTATAGACAGGGTATATGCAGGAATCCTGAAGTCAAATGTAATACCTTTTAAGACCTTTTTTAAGACCCTTTCCATACATTTTAAGACCTCATCGCCACTTTGAGTTTTAACCGGTTACATTGGCGCAACATTTACTACAGTATTGATTGTCCTTCTTCCTTATCTTCCAACCATTTGGACGCAATCTTGCATTTCCCCATAACGATGTTGTTTAACAACCGGCGTAAACGGACCTTCGCGCGCTATCAAGCAGTGAGCGTGCGATGTCCTGTTCAGATGACGTCAAATCCAACAGGATGCCATAAATAAACTACAAAGAATCACACTACACACCTACGCAATGATTACATTCAGGCAAACTTAAGAATACAACCTCTTTGGACAATTTATATACTTACTGAAAACAAGCTACAAAATGTAATACCTTGGAAAATGCCGTTTAATACTTTTTAATAGCCTTCATTTTCGCTAAATTGATTTATCAACTTTTAATACTTTTTAAGACCCTATGGACACCCTGTATAGGTCTAGTGGGTTCAATGGGTTGAAATACAAGCAAAAATACTTGAATGCATCACGTTCCCAGGGTCATTAAGGGCTGAGACAGCTTGTCCAACCATTTCCCTAAAACATGCCAGGCAGGTTACAGAGGCAGCATCCTGTCTTGTGGTTCTGTGGGCTCCTCCATGTAAACACAGTGGCCAAAACAACGAGGAGGGCAGTTGACACTTTGTCACCAGTGGATCATTTAGCTGGGCTGCCCACTCCCTGGGTTTTGTCTTGGATGGCACAGGAAGCTAGAAACCCAGTCCGGCAGAGACTGCTGGGGCCACATACCCATTACGGTGGAAGTGGTTTTTCCCAAGCAAGGAGATCACCCACTCTCTGTCACTTCAAGGTAACCACCTCTACTCAGACACCACTATTTGAAGTGTGTCTCTTTCTCTGATTACATTATTTTAGGCCACTATTCATCATAAATATACTGTTTGTGAAGCTTAACAGCTTGCCCTTCACGAAAACTGCCTTAAAGCACATTTCATTGATCAGTTTAGGTGCACTGAATTGAGTCCACATTTATTCCAGCGTGTGACTTACCGTTTTAGAGACAATCTGCTTCTTCGGTTGTCCGATCTTAAAGGGAATCCTGAAACCACACAAAAAAATGACAGTTGTGAGCAACAGAATGATGGGTGACTAGGAGCTGGTCCAGGTCTAGAGGTGAACAAGCACCTCTTTCAGATTCCTGACACCAACCATCTGAAGTCATTAATTCCTATTTCTCTGGACAGTGTGGACAAAGCCCTTAACTACATGTCATCACTTAACACATCTGGCCGAAGTGGTTGTCCAGTGTGGCTTCACTGTATGACCCTGGCTTGCAATCAAACACTGATGCTCAAGCTATATTGCATATTAGAAAAATGGTAAGCCTAGACAGCCTAATAACTTTGGACTCAAAAGGGAACAGCCGGGGCGATAACTTGCTTCTAAGAGAAAACTAACAATGCGACAAATCAATCCCAAAACCAAACATGTCATGGGATTAACTGTAACTGCAAGAGTTGCTCCTGATTCTGAGAATGAAATACAAACTTTTCTTCACTTCTGAAACACAAACACACCGACATCCTAGTTTTGGTAAATGAAAGAAAAACCATGTTCCCTCTTAGTTAAAACACAATCTTTTATCCCCATTTCAAAACCTTGCGGTTGCCTTAATAAGTTGTTGCCGAGCATGAGACAGAAAAAAAACTGCCTTTCCAATGTGCCTGGCTGTAGGTTGGCCTTGATGTGGCACTAATAGCCTGAAATCTAAGCTATATGATGGACAGTTGCCGCTGACAGGCTGGGTGAGGCAGCAGCTGCGTCAAAAGAAAGGTGTGTAGACTAATGAGATGGAAAAGAGAGGGTGTGATGTAGGGCCTCGTTGTGCAACCAGGGAATGCTACTCGTGTGCGGGGAAGATCCTTTTGATGACAGCTCAATCACAAAACTCAACATGGTCAAATAACAGCGGGATTAGTCTGGTAAGAAAACACAGGTTTCACTCGTGGCACAGGTATGAACCGTTTGTATTGGATTTGCTGGCTCTGCTGTGCTCTAGGTTGTATCAGGAACCGACTGTTCAACGATCTTATCTTAATTGAAGTTTTGAATGAATCCTTAACACATTCGAATCTGTGCAGATTACCGATGCCAACAAATATTTGGCATCGGTCGAAGTTTCACCCACTGTGTCGTCATTTGGGTGAGCCAACATGGAAAATAACCGCAGAAATTACTCAGTCACAAACATGTTATGTGCCTCACCTTTTTTTGATTACCTGATAGTGTAATATAACGTCACAGTAAGTGCAGCACGTTCGTAAGCACAACACATATTAATTCCTTTTCCAAAATACAACAAAAGCATAATTAACTAAATGCAAACTTAGCCTGGAGATGAATCAGGTCTCTCCCAAGGCTACGATGAATCTTGCTAGTTCTGTTTTCACTAGTTCACATCACTGAGATTTGTTGACCACCTACTTTGTGACCACTGTTCCTCCAATGCGTTTCTTTGTTTGGCAGATATACCCTCATGATTTGCATTTCCTTTACCTGTTCCAGTGTCAGTGTATATGAATGATGAATCAGTTATTCTGGCAGAAAGTAACACTACACACAGCTACACAAAGGACTCGTATATATATATAAATACGTGTTATACTAATTTATATTAATTTCTGTGCATCTCGCTACTGGAACAAACTGCAAAACAAATTGAAGACACTTATTCTCTCAGGGACATTAAAAGTCTCCATGCTACTAATATATGTGATTGTTTTAATGAGTGTGTTTGATGATGCTTTGTGCGATTGAATTGTATTATGTATATATGTAATTTCTCTAAGTTCAATTTTGTAAAAGAGATTTTGCTCTCAATGAGACTTCCTGAATAAAAATAATAGTAGAGCATGTCCATTTTAAATATAATAACAAGTCTACCTGTCATTTCAGGGAACAAAACATGAAATATGCCAAAAAGTGTTCATTAAACACATCAAATGTAGTTGTACAAAAAGAAGAAACAAATATATTGTGGCTTCGTTGATATGGAGTTTAACATTCTCTTTCAAAACGGAGAGCACGAGTGGTGCATTCAATGTGATTTCGCAATTTTGCATTAGTTTATGTTTTTCTGGTTGGTTCTTTAACATTGCACAACGTTTGGCAACAGCTTGTGATGTTTGCTCCCATGTGGTGGGTGTGTCGGGGGGGAGAAAATCATGAAATCCACAGCGGAAACCCCAAGGAAAAGGTTTAGTATAAACATTACAGTGTTCCAAGCATCCATCATAGGCCGTGAAATATACATTTAAATGTTAGCTTCCAATGTTCTCTTTTGCCATGTTTTAGCGGAGTTGACCATGACAGGACTTGTTGTTTGGTGACATTAAGAGAGGACGTTTAAGTGTAACTGTATAGGGGTAGATTTTCTAAAGAAAAAACTTTAGAGAGTACTTAATGTTAAAGATTTAGAGTATATGCACTCCTACCAAGAGCCAAAGGAAAGTGGTCACTCTCTTCAAACTGCTCATGAGAACTGGCAAACACACAGAGTGAAGTGTGCTTCGGGGAGGGAGAGGGAAAATGTAGCAGGCAACCAGAGGGAGAGAATGAGAGAGAAGGAGGATGGTAGTCACTGTGAGAATCATTTCTAATGTTTTTCACACAGCCATATTTCTGTAGGGGCTGTCGCATTTAGAAACACTGGTGAGTCTGGTCCTGTGAACCCAGAACAAGCATCTGACATGGCAGAGAACCGACCGCAAGACAACTGGTGACAGTGGAAGTATGCGTTTCACTTACTCAAAACAACCGACATGTCTGAAAACAAATATAAGGCTAGTGATGGCCGCCGTGGACAGCTCAGCTGCCTTTAATGCTAAATACCTTGGGAAATCTGATACAAATAATACAAAAATTAAAATAGAATACAAATAATATGATAAAATATAGTGTTTGTACATGGATAAGTACTTAAATCCAAAGATCCACACTATGGGTAAACATTTCCTCCCTAAATATGAAAGAACTCAAGAGAAAAAACAAAAGGATAGTTTAAGGGTATAGGAATTTGGAGCACCACAGTGAGGTTATTGCTACAACAGCCCATTTTCAGTCCAAAATGCATTAAAAAAGTGATCCGTTACACATTTGATAGCCTCATCAGTAACATAGTCAACTTGTAATTACAGCTCTATCTGATCTTTGATGTAATCGGCTACACGTCACTAGCACTGTGTTAGCACGTAGGCAAGAACAAAGACACGACAGTCTTCTCTATCCGGGACACATTATGCACCGACTGGAAGAACCAATGGCTTTTCACTAATACTGCAAATGTGTGCGCCATTAGAGGAATAGTGCATCATCGGACCTTGGTTTATTCCACGGAGCACAGAGGGCTAGTTCAAGATGTTGGGAAGTCGAATTGTTCAGATGATGACCCCAAAGTCAAACCTCTAACGTCATAGAGGCAAGTGTGCAGGCCCTACTGGAATGCATCAGTCAGCAGAGCCCATAAAGGACTCTTTTCACTGGTCGAGCACCCCACTCTTGACCTTGTGTTTGGCGGTGCGTGCTGGTAAAAGCTTTGCTTGCCAGCCATTGACTGTCTGACTGAACTGCGTGACGCCATCTTGCTTCCTCGATTACTTTCTTCCCTTAAAGTGACGCTAGCATGGGTAATTTATTCGAAAGGGAGTTCATGTATATACATCACAGTTGTAACGAAAGAGTTTGTTGTAATACGTATTAGTTTCTATGCATTTCCTATTGAACTGCAGTCATGAATTGTGAGAAACAAGCACTGAATCTGTTCAAATATCTTTTGAACTCCTAAAAAAGCAGCACACAAGTGAAGACAGGTATGACACATTTAGCCATTTTTGTTAAAAGTGATTCTTGTTATAGCTAAATCCTGAATGACATAATGAAATTTGAAACAGTCAAAAAAACAAGACGGATTCAACTATTGTGGACGTTAATGGGTAGACAACTTCCTAGAAGTCTTAACATTTTTAAATGTCAGGACAAAATTAAATACATTTTCTAACTGCAATTTCCCAACGTGTTTTGCCTCAGAACCTAAGCAAGCCGTTGTAACCGTACAAACAGGGCACTGAAAGAAAGTACAACAGACCCATATGTGAAACCCTCAGTAAACCGAGTGATGGACACAGACTTTACAGCAGATAACACATCTTGCTGAACTCATGGGGAACTGTTTCCCGGTAAGAGAAAACAAAACTTGGCAAGGAAAGTTGTTCAAAATATCAAGACAACACAAATGCCTATGCAAGAAAATACTATGTCATACAGTATATATATTGTTGATATGTTTACTGAGAACAAAACACAGATAGAGTACAACTACATATTTAGACTATAGCTATTATTACAAAGAAATAATTAGAGACTACGTGGAGAAAATGGTAGCCATTCTCAGAGTAAAAATGTTCGCATAAGCAAAAACCTGCTGGAAATAGTGATGATGTAAAGCTAATTATATATCATATAGAGATGTTATTTGAATACACATAACACACGTGTCAAACTCAAGGCCCGGGGGCCAAATCGGTGGATTTAATTTCGGCCCGCAGGATAATTTTTAATTACTATTAGATCTGGCCCGCCGGTATATTGCACGCACACCTTCACTCAACTTGAGGATCTCCTCAGCTCAGAGCCTGAGCCCAAACATTGATGAACTTGCACCCAAGATGAGATGCCAAGTATCTGGCTTGAACTAGCATCACAGAGCAGCACACTGAGTTTAATGGATGTTTCCTTCTGCACTTTGTTTCTTGCGACAACAGGGCATGTTTGTTTTGTTCTTTGAGGGAAATAGTTTTTTTGAAGCTGTTGTTGGCCTGTGGAGAAATGTAATCATAAGAAATGACTCCGGAGAAGCTGCAGATAGAGCCATAAGAAATGAATGCAACTGATTATTTAATGTTGTTTTTATAGGCAATCATTTAAGCTTAGTTCCAGGTTTAATATGTGCAATAAGTTCATTTCAATACGTTTTGCAATAAACATTGAACCAGTCCGGCCCTCGACTAGTACCGATTTTTTAATTTTGGCCCACTGTGTATTTGAGTTTGACACCCCTGACATAACATGTCTGAGAAGATAATCAGAAATGCACAAAGCATGTTCTGTTGTGGACGAATACTTTTGTTCTTGTTGCCATTTGGCTTAAAATCTGATAACAGTCTTGTTTGCTGTTGTTTACTTTCTGAGGGACATCACCAGCTGTATGGAAGAACTCTGATGACAAGATGCAGATTCAGCTAGTATGTGTACAGCTCATCCGTTCAGACTACGTCATAAGACCAACTGTTCACAACACCTCTCTTCATTCAGTGAACTCAGCTCCACAATCATCTGTGGATCCATAGAAAATGACAAAGCACTACAAGGACTAAAAACGTACAAGTCAGTCACCATTATTTAATGAGAACGACGTGGTCATCATTTTCATATTCCTTGCATTTGGGTTATTTTCAATAATCTGCCAATTATTCTCTCATTTAAGGAAAAATGTGTGAACTGTCCATCACAACAAACTGGTTACATAATGACATTGATTATCAAGTCCCTAATCGCAAAAAATATATTAATTTCACTCTCATAAAACTAAAAAGCAACATATTATCCATCTGGGGAAGCCAGATTCCAAAGTCTGAGCATTTTTATTAGAGAAATGACTATAAATGGACAACAAAATATTTGCCAAATCATTGTTTGTCAGCCTAATACAGAATAAAATCAACTGATTGTGTCAGCTACACAAAAGACAAGATCTGCAAACACCTGAGTCGATTTTAAACCTGACATTTAACAGCATACCTATAACTTGCCAGCAGTAGATACTGTATCATCAGACTTGTGAATTGGTGGTCTAAAAGTTAAGGCGAATGTTGAAAAGCGTCCCCAAATACTAAGAAACAACGTAAACATGTAAACATAGGTGGCCAAGAGCCATGCTTGCAAATATCGGATGATACCACACAGCTTGCTTGTAAACATTAAGGGTATCAATACACTGACCTAACGATACTCACCTACCTACTAGGAACAACTCAGCAGTAGAGAAGAGTAAAACCAAAGTAAGTTAACACAACATCTCAATGCTACTGAACATACTGCATCCCCAAAGGCTAACGTTAGCTAGCCAGTTGACCAGTAATGTCCAATTCCCTTTAAATGGCTTCAGTGTTGACCCTGTTGACCTAACTCTTTGCTAACTTCACATTGAGTTTCCATGTTATGCTAATTACAAACCTGTTCGTTTTAACTGTCAACAAGCAGCTGTAAAGTCAGAAAGAAGCGTTAATAATGCTGTTTAGGTAACGTTAGGTTAAACTGCTTGATAACGTTTCAGCAACAAAGTAGCAACGCTACTGTAGCTAACGAACAAGTTTAAGCTAGTTATACGACTTTATCATAACATACTTCGGTTTAGGTTTACTGTTTACAACAAATACTGCTTTGCTAGCACCTGTTTAACGATACAGACGCTGCTGTTCCCATATTAACTGTTTTATTGTCTTTCTAAAAGGTTTTATTCATGAGTTTAACAAGCTAAAGCTAACTCCTGCTCTACTGTAACGTCAATGTTTGTGTATTGCTACCAGGAAGTAGCCGGAGCCCGGTATACGAGACACTATTAATGTATCCTTTCTATATTATACTTTAATTTAATATGCTAAAATAACGATTTAGTCAACATACGTACCAGCTCATTTTGAGTGAACTTTTATTCCAGTTTCATTGGGTGGTTTTAATATCTTCCGAGCTACTCATCCCTTTCTAGCAGTCAACAGTCGAGCTTTAAACAGGAAGTACGGAGCTTAGCCGATTCTGTTTCCTCTCAAGAAGTTTTATGGCAGAAAAATAAATATTAACCATATTAGGTGGAAGAAGTACTCAGATCTTGTACTTGAGTAAACGTAGTAATATACCAAAGTGTAGGAATACTATGTTACAAGAAAAAGTCCTGTATTCAAAATGTTAACCAAGTAAAAGTACAAAAGTATTGGCATCTAAATGTACTTAAAGTACTAAAAGTACTATATTATAGGTACTAAAAGTACTTTAAGTACAGAACGGCCCATTTCTATATACTATCATATAGTTTGATTATAATTATTGATGTATTGATGTGTATATCAAGCTTGTAAAGGTGGGGCTATTTTGTATTATTGTATTTACTGCTGGGCAGCATGTGAATTTAATCCAGGTATAATTTATTTAAGTGTTGATTATATTTTTCTTTATCATTAATACATATCTGCAAAGTCACTAAAGGTACTACATAAATGTAGTTGAGTAAATGTAAAATATTTACCTCTGAGTTGTAGTTAAGTACAGTACTTGAGTGAATGTACTTTAAACCACTGAATGTAATAAAGTACACTTACTCAAGTACTGTACTGAAGTACAATTTTGAGGTACTTCACTTGAGTATTTTAACGTTATGCTACTTTATACTTTTACTTTACTACTTTGGAGATATATATTAATAATACAGAATATAAATCAACTAATACATCATTATGTATTATTATAGGTGAAGCTACCCAGCAGTTAATCAAGTCATTAAAATGTTCTTCTCCTTTACGAAGTGCAACATTGACACTATTGTACAACAACGTTTTATTTTTAAATCTGAAATGGGCCATACTGGATAATTAGTACTTTCACTTTGTGTACCTGTAGTATATTTTGATGCCAATAATGTTGTACTTTTAGTTGAGTACAAATTTGAATGTAGGACTTTTGCTCGTAACAGAGTATTTTTACACTGTAGTATTGATACTTTTATCAGATCAGATCTGTTCGGTATGTACGTGCACGAAGAGACCCATGAAAACTGAAGGCAAGTGATATTTTTCTTTATTCAAGTACTTACATATAAATAACAAAACAGTTGCATTACAACAAACTGAAGTGCCAAGTAAACAGGGGAGCACATCTCCCCATCACAAGGATATAGTAAAATTCATTTCAATATTCAGCTCATCATAAAATGACCTTATTATAAGGTAATAAAAACATGAAATAGGCTAAAGACATCAACAACATTTTAAACAAGACCCCTTGTTTTCTTGAGAAAAAAAAGCCAACAGAACAGTTATCCCAGTGTGTGTTTTCAATTGTCCGTCTTGAATTGTTGTTATCCCGTTTCACCAAATGTGAATTATTTTCATGCATAATAAAGAAATGAGCACTACCCACCGCATCGTAGGGCAGCACTTTGGAACATTTCCGTGCACATGCAAACATGAGGATATACTGTAATGAAAAGGAAAACACAACACAACAGAAAACAGTGAGTATCGACTCCATCTGAACACCATAGTGTCACTGTTGAAGACCACAAAATCCCTGAAGCCACCCTGTTGTCCATAAGATGACATGAGTAGCCTATAATATCTACACACATGATGGAAATCTCTTAAAAAGATGAGTATTTTTTTTTTAAATCTTGTAATTAGTAATTGTCACGAATGAGCCCAAGCCTATTGCCGTGCCCAAGGCCAACTTCACGGAGACTAAATCAAACAGTTAAACACAAACATTAGCACAAGGCTGCCTTCAACTGCAAGCAGACTGAGGTCACATTTATGATTTGTTTCTCCTGTGGAGTTCTCATCTCATATTGTTTTTGATCAGCCAACCCTGCAACCCAGTTTGGCACAAAGATGGCTGCAGATGTTGGCTCAGATCCAACATGGAGCAGAGAACGAGGATGAGGCAAATTCCAATTTCAGAGCGTTTCAGCCGCCCACTTTTGGACAGTAAAACATGAAAAAAGCATAATATAAATTATTCTTAGAGAAGCATTATTAAGAGGGGGTTGTTTCTACAGCATTCACACATTACACAGAGTTATTGTTCAGCAGAACACGGTGCAGTCTGTATTGTTCAACCACCAAGCTATATTCAAGGAGTGGGATGGAGGGGGGGATCATATACTTTTTTACAAAACCTTTCTGTCCATTATAAAAGTGTCACCAAACAAAAGTGACAAACACAGTGAGAGGATATGAACGATGAAATATTGAGTTTGCAAAGTGGTAATTACATGGCTTCATTTAGATGTGGAAATGGTTTGGTGTAGTCTCCACCTTACCCTGCATCATTCCTCAACACAAAGCAAACATAAACACAGTTTTCTCTCAGTGGAGGCCACATCCTATATATTATAATTCAAAACACCCATTCTCACCAGCAGAGTGTCAAATCAAGAACACACAAGAGCATCATTTTTGGTCAAATAAATCAAAAAAGATTCAAGGTCTATAATGAACAGTGTCTAACATCAAATTCTTCCAGATAAACATTTCATTTTTCCTATCAACTCGTGTACGTTCTATATATATATATATTTATTTGAGTTAACTCCACGAGGCTGTCTGCTACACGATGTTTACATTAGAGTCTGTTACCCATTGCAAGATTTCGGCAAATCCACAAGTAATGTTTTAATCTTAGTTGTCTTTTAGCGAATTATCTGGGATCAGACATAAGAAATGTTGTGTAATGTGAAATAAATGATATGTTCAGTTTGGTAGTTTGGGATTTCAGTTGAGTTAAGCTGAGAAAAGTTTGGTTTGCCATCCATGCAAAACAATTATTTTTCATGATACAAAACTATTGATTTACATTTAGATGTTACAGGGTGCATGGACTTTTAAACTATTTGAAAAAGTGCAAGGAGCTCTGTTCATTTATCCATGTAGATGAGTTGAGGCTCTCTGAGGCCAAATTAATTGGAAAATAAGTGGAAAGTTGCCAGGAAGCTCAGCAGTGAAACTGGTTGTTACAGGAGGGGAAAGCATGGCCTTCTGTGTGCCCTGTGTTCTCTGTGGCATTGCTTTCCTGAACCCTTCCTCTGGCCTTTGCATTTATCAGTCAATATTTTCTTTAAGTCTGATTGCCGTGTCTACTGACTGGTATAATATGTTTTTATTCTCTGCATGGAATAGGGCATACACTTTTTTAGTAGTTAGAGAGCACAACTAATAACCAGAAATATTGTTGGTCAAAGTAGGATAAATCAGAAACTATATTAAAACAAGGATAAGCTTATTATAACACCTCACATTTTTTATCCAATGGGCCAAATCGCATTTTTGGACTGCCAAAAAAGCCATATTTTTAAGAGAAAGGGAATATGCTTTTCTAAGCATATAGAATGTATTCATTGTTGTAAATAGTATTATAACAAAATGTTAAGATCCCATAGAAGCTCACAGAGGAGATAAGCTTACACAACATGTTTCATAGAATGATGGAATAGTTATTATTTCAAATCAGGACAAATTAACAATCAGAGACGGAGAAATATTGGCATTGCCCTATAATGGATTTGGTTTTAGAAATAATCTAGTCATTTAGTCTTCTGTCCATCTGAGAGTAACCAGTGTTTGCTAAGAAATTGGGAAGATGTGTTAATTGAAATAACTGATTGCTACTATAATGGAGATAAACAAAATGTAAAAAGTCTTTCTGTTTATTCAGAGAACACATTAGTGCTTCCTTAAACCACTTACAAATGCTATTATTGTTTTTTTTTTCTTTCATGGAAGATAATACACCATATTTGGCACTATTGCAGTGCTCTAAAATGTTTTTGAAATAACCTATGACAACAAAATAATCCGTATTATAACTACATTACTAAAAGCTTTAAGACACATTCCCACAAGCATTCAGTCAATTGAGAGTTCTTGTTTATGCAGTCATTTGTATTTACATAGTGTGCATGAAGGCATGCACATATATGCACAATTTAATACTGAGTTATGGTGCATTTGACATTTGAGTACAAAACTGAAAATTCTACTGTATAGCTACCTGCATACATGTGTGTATACTGTACAAAAACAACAAGTCCCTAAGTCACAACTCAGTCTCTCTGTATTAAAAAGATGTAAACATGGATATGGACATTTTCATTTTTCACTTACCATATGCTGGTCAGATTTAGGTGATTTATACCAAGTAGTTTAGTCTTTTTTACACCGTGAATCCTTCATTCCTCTTTGCTTTGATATACTGCTGGTTTACAACCCAGTGTTATTTATTTAAATAGTTCAGTCTGTCAAACTGTGCTCTTGGTTCATCTGATTTACGGGTTGGTGGCACATGTAATGAATATATTGCATATAATTGCAGAACTCAAGAAAAATGAACAGTATTGGTGAGCTTTTTAAAAAAAAAATGATATCTGGTAACGCCACATAAAGCCACCGTATAAAAAAAGGCAACACAAATACACAGTGTCTCTCAGTGACTACAAATAAATAAAGTATTGGCAGAGGCATTGATTGCTGCAGGCATGTTTGTTTTATAAGTACAAGTAACAAGACAAGACATCGGTTTGCTTTGTGTAACCCATTCAGTCATTATGTAGACTTAACCAATTTGTGCAGGTAAATCTATTTGAATCTGATCTTTCCGTTAAATCAACATGTGTGCTAAGCTGATATCACTGTTATGTTTGGCAGATGTCAGGCACAATAATAAAAAAAACAAGGTTGGCTGTGTCACCACAATACATTTGGCACATTCTTTTGAGAAAACAACATTCAAATAGAAAATAAAAAAACACGACACCTCAACAAAATACAACAAAAAGACCGTCAAGTGCCACTAATAAGGTATCCATGACAGTACACAAATATAACCAATTGCACTTTTTTAAAACAGCCTAATAAAATAAATGCATACATCCCAGACAACTCACCCTTTAAATAAGCTCCATTGTAATTTAGTTTTTTGACCCTTGGCTTCCTTTCAATTTAGAAATTCTCAGTAAAATTGACAAAAGTGTATCCAGCCCACAAACCTATATGAAGTGGCCTTGTGGACAGAATGTGCCAAGGGGCCCTTCTTTGTGTTACAGTAGCTGAAAGAGAAGGGTGTAGCAGCCTTTCTCCTTTTTTTCTTAAACTAAAAGTCATCCATCTCAAAATAGAAGGAACTATGGAAATAAGAGCGGGGGATGTAAAAGAGAGTAAAAGAGTCACCTATTTATCTCATAGTGGACGTGATCCCGTCTTCCCAAGTCTCTTTATGGGGCATGGTGAGGGTCCAGTCCAAGTGTGTGTAGTGACGGTCATGACGTTCCCCCTGTCGGCCCCCCACAGGAGCTGGGGGGCGAGCTGTGGCTCCCAGCCGCCCCACTGCTCTTGTCAGCCGGCTTCTTGTCCTTCTGTTTCAGGTGAACCTTTGAGTGTCTCTTTCTCTCGTCACTCCTGGCAAACTTGCGTCCACAGAACTCACAGGAGAAGGGCTTCTCGCCGGTGTGTGTGCGGATGTGTGTGGTCAGGTGGTCGCTCCGGCTGAAGGAGCGCATGCATATTCGGCACTGGAAGGGTTTGTGACCTGTGTGGATGCGAAGGTGACGTGTGAGCTCGTCTGAGCGTGAGAAGCGTCTGTCACAGTTCTCCGCCGGGCAGGCGTGCGGCCGCTCGTGGACAGGGGTCTTGCTGGGACGGTTGGGGTACTTCCGAGGTCGTATGGGTTTGAGGGTGAGAGTCTGTGGGGGTGGGTGGTGCTGAGGAGGGTGCTGTTGCCCCCCGTGGAAACCTGGGTGCATCTGCTGCTTGTCTTTGAACGCCCTGATGGTCTCCAGGGGTGTGATGGGAGGAGGGTTGACTCGGATGGGGTCCATGCTCTGGAAGGGCTTGTGCTCCATCACGCCAACATCCCCCTGATGGTGGAAAAGGTTGTAGTCGGGGATCATGGAGAAAAGGCTGCCATCCATGGAGGCTTTGGATGTGGAGTGGTAGTCATTGCCCGGGTAGGCGAGTCCGCTGCTGGTGGCCGGGCTGTGGTGGAAGGAGACCTGGTCCTGGTACAGGTCGCCGCAGGTGGAGTAGGCAGGCAGCGGAGGACCGTACACCTGATCCATGTCTGACGTCTGTCCGCCCATGCTGGCTGCGGAGGACGATGTCTGCGACGTGACCGTGCCGGGTGATGGAGAGACGCCCAGGATCCCCGCGCTGACAAGACTGATGATGTTGTTATCAGAGCACCACCCGGAGCCCCCGAGGCCCCCTGACGGAGGAGTGTCAAAGGCAAACTTCCCCAGATAGGTGACAGTCTGCCCGCTGCGGTTGGACTGGAAGCTGGATCCATACTGAATGTCTGCGGATGCTTTCTCGCCTCCCATGCCCAGATCCATGATGTTATCTAGACAAAAGCACAAACACAGACATAATGAATAAATCATCCATATTGTTGCACATACAAGAATTTTAAAAAGCTGAAAAGAAAAGCTTTCAATAGCTGATAATGTGGCAAAAGTTGTTGAATAAAGTCTAGAAAATTCACTTTGTGAAGATATGTGATCTTGAAGAATCCGTTTTTCCAAAATTCAGCTTTTTTGCATTTCTCTGTAATAGTGTGCCAACAAATGAAAAATAAAAGAAGTCCACTGGAGTTCATAAAGAAATGTGAGCGCTGTCAGACCTGTAAGTTAAGTGAGTGACTGCTGCATGTGAGACAGTGGTGTCTCTCTCTCTCAGATCCCACAAGCCCTCATAAATCAAGACCTAAACACCCCCTTTGATCCAGTCATTGTGTCCCTGAGGAGGACAGCCAAACTGAATGGCAAGATCTGATTTCTTTACAGCAGGGAGGATTATAAGGGAGACGCCACATCTATCACGCTCAAGGATTCAAAACACATTTGCAGCATCTGCACATAACGGGGGTAAAACATTTAAAGTGTTTCCAATCCAATCTCGGCATTAGTGAGCTTAACAACATTTTCCCAAATTTCCCTGATATTTTAATTGTACAGAATCTTACACTTCACACACACACATTTAACTTATTCCAAAGATGCCATAAAAACCATCACAGATGTGCTTAATGGGGATTCATTTATGTGCTGATCGTGCTCTCAGGGCTTTAATGTGAGACGTTTAAAATGAAATCTTTCTTTCACACAAGTTAAAATAGACATCTCTTTTCATTTGCAGAGAATCATACACTGGAGTGTTTAAATATTCACTCCCAGTAATTACCGCCTGCTGGAATTTGGCTAAAGGCAGATCATAATTGAGCAAACAAAAGCTAAATTACTTATAGCACAATGGCATTGAGACACATGAGGTGAATATGGACAATGACACTTGTGGCATATTTTTTTAGGGGGGGGGCTTGGAATTGGAAAGCAAGCCTGAGTTGATATTAAAGCATTAAACTCTAAATATTTGGTCTTTAGGAGGTTCTTTGAACTGTGGGATTTATTTTGAGAGAATAAGAGGCATACAATAATTCATCACTATTTCTTATTAGGCGGCGTTGAGGGGCAAAGTAAACAGCTGCTTCACTGGAAATATTACACATGGAACTCTAAAAAGAAATTATTGTTATTTGCACAAAAATATTAAATCTGCAAAAAAATCTTATATATTACATTTTGAGTGTATAACGTGAATTTCCTCAAGATGAGTCATATTTAACAGAGCAACACACACCTGTACTGAAACATATTTTTTATGTTCAGCTTCATTTGTTTCAATAATTCCTGTCAGAGGTCACTACAATTAAACATAAATACACATTGTATTGCCTTGTTAATAGAGAAATGTCATATGTTGCAAGTGTGTCTCCTGTATTTAATTTATGAGGTATACTATTTATAAGACCTGGCGCTGGGATAATTAAAAACGCACACTTCTTAGGTAAATAAGGGGGTTCATTACGGGGTAATTTAAAAATAAGGGGTTGTTTTAAATTGTGAAAAAAAAAAAAAACGTGAAAATAAAAATGTTTCATGCAAAGTTCGACAGGGCAAATGTAAATTGCGGTCAGTGCATCACGGTGATCCTCGCCACGCCAGGATACTAAATATTTAGTATATTTGGTGCAGCATTGACCCATCACCTCCGAAGGTGGGCCTGTACAATTAGTGATTGATTTAATGCCAACACTGAGCCGAACCTAAAGTCATCTTTGGAGGCGTCTGAATTAATCAGAAATAAACCTTAATCTGGATTTAGCACCAAATAAATCAATAAATTTGGCCTCGCAATTTAGTGACTAAGTGGGTTCAGGGGGCCCTGTGTCTAAACATTTTATATAGGGAAAAGCAGCCACACACGCCTACTGAAATCCAATCTGTGTCATGTTAATAGAGTTGTGAATGAAAGGCATTCTCCTAAGTAGCTGACCCATCTTTGCGGGTGGATGTTAGATTAATGAATCAGTGGCATTTTGCAGTTTAACCACAGAAATGTATTCACTCCGAGAGTTGAGATTTCAGTTTCAGTCAGGAGCCGATTGCGTTTTGAGTACTTTGCGTATAACAGCCTGTTTTCCACAGCCGTTCATTAGACATTTCCTCAAACACTCCTCAGCTTTGCCAAATTAAAATCACTATACACGTGTAGATTTTACAAATATAATGTTTTAGCATTTGGTTTTTAAAAAGTTTTGATTTCAGAACCTTTTTTATGTTGCGTGAGAGACATTTCGGCTACGGACAATGATAAACATAAAAGGAAACGTAATAAATATGACATGCCTGACCAGAGAGTCAGTCACATTAAAAGTGTATCTAATTCGTAGAGTCCGGTGTTACACCTGACCCCGAGAAAAAGTATTGAGTACGGGAATCTGTGCGTCTGTGCGCAACAGCCAGAGCGCAAACAGGTGCTCCGAGACCCAAGACAACTGTTGCCTTACGCATCGCAGTTTGAACCACTTTTATCAAAACACTCATACACGGAAAAGTAAAAAAATCTTACCTGTATTCATCTGTGAATAGTGGTTAATAGATTCCGTACTGGTGAAAATATTCATAGACGTCGGGATGTCCTCTTCTGGGTAGAGACTGTCAGGGATCGTGTTTATTAAGCTGCTCATCGTAAGAGGGAGCTTCTCCGCTAGTTTCCCTGTCATAGCAGTTATAGTCAGTCCGACATTTATAAAAAGGACAACTCGCAGGTATCCAAGTAGTTACTCTGAAAAAAAACACAGCGGGTGTTCTCAAAAGTGGAAAACACAGGTGTGGATCAGTGAAAAAAGAGGAGAGAGGCGCAGGGATGGATCCTGTTGCTGTATCCAAGTATCCCGCGGAGGACGAGCAGCGCCGGGTATCTCCTCCTGTGTGATCACAGGCTACTGTTGTTATTACTCTGATCACTGTGGAAGCTGATGGGCTGCTTGTGGGGGAATGTGAAGTCTGTGAATCAATGGAGGAGGTGGTGGTGGTGTTGGTTGCACAAGAGCAGCTCTACTTGCTCTATTGGAGCTGGATAGGGGACTCCAGTCTGCCTGTATTAAATAGGGGGATGGAACATTTGCGTGACGTAGATGACCAAATATGGACAGAGCACCCAGCACCCATGCTCTCCGCGCGTCAGGCATGTGGAAACTACAGTGGAGGCAAAAGGCTCCGATAGATAGATAGAGAGCCACAGAAGTTTACCAAATCTTCACTGCTGCTCCAGATGCGCCCCTCTCCGGGACGATCCTCCTCTGTTCCTGTCCTTGTGGAAAACATTAGAGGGATTCAACAGCTGTTATCTGTATTATTATCAGGCATTATGATGTCCATTGTGGACTATCACGCACACTGGGAGCTTTTTATGCAGCTGTGTGTGTGCGAGTGAGAGACAGTGTGTGAGATGGAGAGACAGAGAAAGAGTGTGTTTTTTGGCTGTTAGTCGTAAAAAATGTAAATACTTTAAGTAATTAAAGGCCTTCATACTGTTTGTTCATATACAAATATTGAAATATGTGTCTGTGTTGGCCTTTCTTTTAAATACGTTTTGCCCAAATAAACCTAAAGAAAAATAATTTGTTTCTACGCTAATATGCTTTTGTGTTGCTTTTAGTGTATGTTCAAACTGTCCTATCCTACTATCCGTCCTGTATTGCAGAACAACTGTTGGAAACCGTCTTCTTCAAGCAGCAACACTTAACAAAGACAGTAATTGACGGAGTTAATCGCTTGTAAATATTGCAAGCAGCGCACTGTAAATCCGAAGGCTTGCTTTGACTTGGAGCCAAAGTGACCGCTTAAGTGGAACTCCAAATAAGGGCAGTGTCCGGCCCCGCCCCTTTCTGTCTGTATTTGGACATGTGAGTTCCGGGTGAAGCACAAGCATGCAGCACAAGTGGAAAAGTGATCGGAAGCCACAGAAGAGATGACAGTGGACGGAGCGTCATGGGTCGCTTTTTTACTTATTTGCCAACTTGTGAAAAATAAACAAAATCACACAGTGGTTGACTTGATATCCTTTTGAATAGAGTTATTTAAAAAAAAAGAAAAAGAAGACTTACTAAAAATCTTTGGGGTTACTCACTGCTTTCAACTCACTATCACACTCTGCACTCCTCATTAAAAGTCTAGTAGGGATTAACTAAGTTGGGTAGGCTATGCACTTTCTGCTGTAGCTGTACCAACATGAAGCACACAGGCCTTTGCAAATCTCACAGAAAATATTGAATGAAATGTCAGTGCCTGAATATTCAGACCTGAGAAATTAATAGTACCTCAATGAACCAGAAGTGTAAACAGAGTGTGTGGGAGAATTAGTCTGAATCATGCTCTGTGTTTAGGGGGCTAACACAAACACAGCAGCCAGTGATCTGGTGTGGCTCATCACCACAGGCAAGTCCTCAGTGTGTGTGTGTGTGTGTGTGTGTGTGTGTGTGTGTGTGTGTGTGTGTGTGTGTGTGTGTGTGTTTTATCATAGCAGTCATTCCAGCGGGCAGATAGAGTAGGTTCCTCTCAGGATGCCTTGTAAACAGTCTTGTGCCTAGAATCAACAAAATAGACAACAATGATCCACACAGACTTGTTAAAGAAATTCAACACTCTTGTGTCCGACCAAATAAAGATTTTCTATGTTGACTTAATCATCTGCCTTAACTGACTCACTCCTTAAATGTGCTAAAAGTAGTTCTCTGAATAACTGTTAGCACATTAATCCAGGTCAGAAGGAACAAGATATTAGTGATTTTTTCTTGAGTTTTAGCTGTTCACGTATTTGGAGCTAAATGTCAATCAACATAGAGTATGTACATCGTTTATCAGGCCATTTTAATCACCGATTTAACGTTTTTATATTTACATTTTGTGTCCGTTTTTAGCCTATCAAATGTGAAAGCTGGAATTCAATGTTAAGAGGCTGTTATAGTTGTAAGCATTATCTATTCATAATTAAACATTCAAGTGAAAAATACATTCTTTAGAGGGGACATAATATATTCACCGCATATAAACAGTTTGATATATTTCGACAAACTGCTTTAGGAACAAAGGTCAAAAGGTGACAATTTCCACACCTATTTCCACACCTATGGAAAGCATTATGTGCTAACATACAGTAAGGCTCTATTGTCTATACCACTGCATAACAAACAAAAAACAGGAATGTATGATTGGTATGGACTAAAAACAGGTAATCCTGACATAATGTAATGCAGAACAATACCATGACCTACTGACTCACACATTACGCACAAGAGGTAGTATATTTATAGCAGTTTATTGCATCCTATATTTGCATCACATTATGTGCTGTTCCTGTTTTTTTGTCTACCTCATGAAGTTGCAGGGGTTGATCAGTTCAGTGGGAGAGCCGTGGAAAAAGTGTTGATGGGTTTAATCAAATGAGAGAAATCCCTCAGGTCAGCGTGATAAGGACTTACTGTACTGCGGCGCCTCGCCGGAAAGTTGGAACACCTACCTGTTGCAGGTTTATTTCCTCGACTGTGATCCGATCACCTGGGCCTGGCCCTCTGTGTTTGTCGTGGCGTTTCCTCTCTTTGACTGCAGCGTCCTGGCCTCTTTTGCATACCGGGATTCCATGGAAGCACAGGCTTGTTTTAAAGCACAGTGGAAAACTGCCCAGGCACTGCGGATATATAGTCAAATTAGTTTAGTTTTTCCAGGCTTCATGGGGGAAGACTACAACTGATGTTCCCTGCTGTTAGTTATAGATATCTGAATAGATAAACATTATTCTAATTATCCCGACAGTAACTGCACATCCATTATTTGACATGATGTTGTAAAGGAAACATCTCTTGATATTATGATCACTGTAATGGTGACAGTATTGCATGAGAAGTATTATATATGTATATGGTTTATCAATCTGCAGGTGTTTTATTCCCAAAAAAATCTCCATATTTCCAAACTATGACTTTTCATACTACAGCCTTTTATTTTAAAAGCATCTACATTTTGAATTTGGAGAATCTCTAATATGAATTCAGTTAAAGAAAGATGAACACATATCCAATGAAAACACATTTTTGTCATCACATCATCTGTAAAAATATGTTGCTTCATTTATTTTTTGGTCCAGTTTTGCATTAGTTAAAAGTGAGCGTTGTTACCCTACCCATCATTGCTATTTGTCTGGATAATGTTTTACTTTTCAGTGTTATTAAGAAAGGAAAAACATTTTTTTTCAGATACAAGCCCGACCAGATACCTTGGCAAAGATGTTTAGAGGTCAAAAGGTGCATTTTAAAATTCAGCGTTTCTCATTTGTGAATGATGTTCTTGGAGACAGACGTTTACTCAAGCCAAACAAAGAAGTGTATTAAATAAGTATATTCATGTAAATTCATTCAGAGGCATGATTCAAACCTCCAGGTCGACCACAGAGCTCTGAATGAGTCTGTTGGGGTCGGACAAACAGAGAATACACGTGCAAAGTGGTCAGCAGAGCATGCTTTGGATGTCACACCCAAATCCATTTGGCCTCTGCTCACAACAAGTGATGAACTGCAGGAAGTCCCCCGTGAAATAAATCTTCCGCACTTCTCCAGCAGCAGCGAGAAAAGAAGAATAGACTCGAGTCAGAATGCATATTAGATCACTAAGCGCCGGTTAGGCAATTGAATTGATTATACAAATTCCTTTTAATTAATGTAGGTTTGAATACATTAAGAAAATATTAAATGCATTTCCCTTATCATCAGGGGATGTGAGAAGTTATTTATTTTTTCCAGAGATGCAATATACTGTGCCCCGTTGAACTACAGCTGTCAGTTTTTCTTAATCACAATATTTCAACTCTCCTGACATTTGGAGTAAAAATAAACACATTCAAGGAAGCTGAGTGGCAAAACCCAGCTGTTTTGGCAGGATATCTCCGAAATATAAAGGAGGGAAAAAAATGCACAGTGTATTTGGAAGTACAAATCTTGGCATTTCAATGGTGTACTGATGGATTCAAGTAGGTGGTTTTTGGAAGAATGTTCTCCCAGTTGGCATGCCTCACAATGAGTGTGGAATTATAATACCCTTGCCAATTGTTCAAAATGTGATTTCATAAGTCAAATAAGATCAAGGTCAAGAAGCGATATTCACACTGAAGGATACATTTGTTCAAAAGCAACAGACCGCCTGACTAACTGTGTGCTTGTGTGCATTGTTTTGGTTGTTTTGTTTGTGGACGCGGCTGCTTTGACTGTTAAGTCGGGGAAGCAAACAAAGCAGATGCAGGACAATTTGATCAATGATCTCCCAGAGTTCATCGGGAGGGCACATAGGGGTTTACCAAGGCTGGCTTAACCACCAAAGGAACAAAAAACCTCCATTACCTACTCCTGCCTAGCCCACTGATGAGACACCAAATCAGGGTCAATGCAAACCACCAACTAAAGATTGATCATCAGAACATCAAAGTCCCTCATGTAAATCCAGCCTTTTCCAGACATCTGGGGTATTGATACAAACCCCTCCCAGAGGAGAGTTGCTGGTTAGAAACCAATATTCCTCATGGGGGGTACTCTGACCCACCCTCTACAAAGACCCGTGCAAGTCTGAAAAGTATCTCCTCGTCAAAAGGGTTGAAAAGTTTATCCGCACCATCCTCTGCAGACCTACCAGGTAGGCCTGTTATGCAACCGTCCAAAGTTCAAAACGTGTTCATCCTCCCAAAGTTACACTCAAGGACACTTCAATCAAGGAAGTGAAAGCACATCGATGTTTCCAATTGAGGTGAGAGTGGTCAATGGAAATATGATAAACAATTACACAAACAGCAAGTTCCCTTTACCCACACTGCATGCCCCTCCCCCTGTCCTGTCACTATGTTGAGTATTTTGGTTCAAGTTCCACTGCGGCATCCGGCAGTGTTGCGGTCTCGGTTTCACCTCCCACTTCCTTTTTTTGGCCCTGACGTGTTTCCGCGCCTGAATTAGAATAAACTCTTTCCACTAGAGTTGTGATATCAGGTCCGTCTTCCTTTTCTGGTTTACGATGTTTGGAAACTAATAAGAAATCCCCAGTGAGGTCAGAACTATCTCCCAAATCCTTCGCCCCGCACCACGTGACAGAAGATACAGGGCGACATCAAAACATAGCAGCTGCTGTAACACAAAGAGGAAATCTCCCTCTAACTCAGTGATAAGATAACAGGCAAAGAGGGCTGACCTGTTGCAAGCTTTGAAGAACGTACTGTATGCTTATATTCAGAGAAAGTGGGGAAACATCTTATTTTATATCATTGTACTGACAGGTTCTTCATTTAGGCATCCGAGAATCAGTCTTTGTAGTTTTGGGTGAGCAATGGCAGAGTGGCCACAGGCTCTCCCAGGTCAAACCTTGTGATGAAGGCCTGAAGATCCCATTTACCTGTTGAAACATGAACACAGAAAATGTATAAGTATTTACAGATATTCAGAGGGGAAATGGACTTAAAACGTGTGTATTTTCAGTCTGATTGAACAGTGTTTTGTAGATGGATCAAAAAACCTAAGCACTCAAACCTCACAAGTTTATTTGACAACATGTTTTTATCCTACACACATTCAGCGCAGTCTGAGTGTAATCTCTGGTGCATTGCTAGAGTGTTTCTCGTGACCGCTCGGCCCGTGTTTAAGGGATCTGAGGCCTAACTGAGCAGCACATGGCTCTGGGATGTGAGTCACTGACAACAGCACTGCTGAAAATAAAACATGTTGCTGTAATGATGGAGGTGGGAACGCAAGGACGTATTGGCAAGAAGATATGATTCAATCGCCTGGACCGTTTTTTTTCCTCCCTCCCCTTTTAAACAAACACCAGACGGCCATCCGGCTGGTATGACAATATCACTTCTTAGATTTTGACAACCGCTGATTCCCTGCAGCTTCCCCTCCTTTTAAAAAGAAAAAAAGACAAATTCACAATTATCTTTCCAAGGCAAAAAAAACCCTGTGTGCTTAAAACTTGCAAATTTCAACAGATTCTAGAGTGTCTGCGTGCGTCTTCACATGTTGGAGTGTACATACGACAACGCCGCGCTCCGCAATCCAGGGAATGGCTGACATTCTGGTATTTCCGTATGTGGAGTAATTACATTAACAGCTGTTCAAGAATAGCGTAGGCAAGTTAATCTTTTGAAAAGAAGAAGCCAACTATTGAAACCGTCCAAATCTGTAGAGAGAATGGTCTCACAGTCAGGGGTTGAGTCTGACTCTGTAGAAGCGTTGGTGCTTCTCACCTCTCGCTGCAGCTGCTTCACAGGCCTTCTCTGTGGCTGTTTTCGCCATCAGGGAGACACATTTCGTATCCCGCGGCACCTCGGAGGAGGAGATATGGGAGAAGAAATATACTTTGCCGCCGCTGACTTCAAGTGCACTCACCTCACATCAATGCAGAAACAAATCAAACAGATTCATTTACATTTCAGACAAAATGTGTTTTTCAAGGTTGTCTTGTTCAGGGTATTTTCAGAAAATATGATTTTATTTATCTCCTTTCAAATCTTCAAGTGTTACAGCCAGTCTTTTGTAAAAAAAAAGCAAAATATTGTCACCTAATCATGACCTCATTATAAAATATACTATCAGCCTCTTAAAAGACACAGAGATGGGCAACCTGTGTGAAAGACACCATTGAGACACAGTTTTTAACCGTTAAGTTAAATGATCCTACACAACGTCAAGAAAGACGATTTAAGTAGTTTTTTAAAATTATATTTGAGTTTTGCCTTGTTTGACTATTAAAGTAAAGGCCTGACACATCATCTGAAGCCAAACAACTGTGAGGTAAACAAATGAACGTGTTACAACTGTCCCTTTAAGGCGTCTTATGGAAACAAAGAAGGGAAGCCGCGACAATTTAGTTACGCAAGGTTTAAACTTAAAATGACAGCATTATCAAATCATTACTCAACTGTTTTTCGTGCATGCTTCCTGCATGATCCTCACTACATGTTTAGCTTATGAGCCTGACACCAAACCTTGGTGTGTCCGGGTTTGCCATGAGGTCAGGTCAGGGTCTGAGCTCAGCTGGGGGAGATAATGAATAATAACTGGGAGATGAGCAGATGAGTACCTGAATCTCTCCAGGTCCCCTCTGTGAAAGAGGATTGCCTGCAGGAAGGGCTCACATAATCAAGTGAGGGCAATGGAGTCAAGTGACCTGCCTGTATGATAGGGCATGGCCCCAGTGGCCCCTCTGGCCTGTGCTTCAGGGGGAGATAATGTGCCGCCTCTGCAGGGGCCCAAACTCCCCTGCATGTCCAGATCAAGGTCCCTCACCCCTCAGAGGGAGCACCTTTAAGGTAAGCTGAGGGGTGAGGTAACAAACCGAATATAGGGATATAGACCATCAGTCATGTCAGGATTTAATAATAAAACTCTTTTTTCCCAGGGAGAACAGGCTTTGAAGTACTTTTAGGCAACATTTCCCCTAACAGAGAACGTCAAACTGAAGATCATTTTATTATAACGATCAGACGGAGAGTCAAAACCAGGCGCTGCTTGTAAGGCTTTGCACACATAATCCTGTCTAAAGCTGTGCAATCATTGGGCGCAATCCAAAGTGAGGAAAATTCAAAATATCTGGTGCTATCACGCTGGGTGCTACCCTGCGAATGCCTAGACTTACAAGTGACCTTAAAATAGGCTGGTGTGTGTTTGTGGCGCGGAGACGTGTTCCTGCCTCTCCCATCTGCCGGCTCATGGAAAGGACAGATAGTGCGGGACCTGAGGGCGATGTTAAAGTCTTCCTGCCTCTCCTTTTTGTTTCCACCTTGCTGCTCCGTCTGTAGTATGGCAGGAAGATCAGGACTGCTGTGAGGTGACACAGAGCCGCTACATTTAGTGGTGTGGGCGGTGTCCCTGTTAAACCTCTTAGAGTGTCTCGAAAATACTCGAAACCAAGTGATCCTGTTCATCGCAGCAGCAGAGCCATATCAGTCGAAGAGATGAACTCAGCTTCATCACGTAACATTCATAGTTGTAATAGTGTTATACTAATACAGTGTGGGGGTTATAAGGATGTCAGAGAGGTCAGGGGTCGGCCTCCGGAGCAGAGACGTGTTGCTCGGAGATGCTTTAGCGAGACAGATGACTGCTGTGCAGAGACCTGTCTCCAGAAACACTGTTTGGCTGCAGTCTCAGCTCACAGCCTGCTGTCAATATAGCAGCCTACATTGTTAGCAACTGCTGTCACCCAATGTGGACTGCATATTCAATCTGATTGCACGTTTTTCTTCTTCTCAAAAGCACTGCATGGACTGGAAACAGGATACATCCCTGAGCTGCTCGTCAACTATTCAACCCCCAACCCTTAAGATCTGGTGACCAATCGCTGCCTTCTGTTACCTCACCCAATTAAAAACTAAAGGTAATCTTAATTTGTTGGCCTTTGCCATTAGGAGTTGGCTCTTCCGCCTCAATTTATATCTTTATAATCCGCCTAAAGACCCATGTCTTCTCGTTAGTGTCTTAACTAATAGCATGATGTCTTGCATAGCCACAGTATTTTGATTTAATTGTATTAGTTTGTGTTTTATTCTTTTTGTGTGTTTGCAATTTCGTTTTTTGTTTGTGTTTTTATCTCAAAATAAGCTAAGCTTTCATTAACTGACCTATGTTCTCTGACTTCTAAAAATTATTATTGTGTTTTCATTTGATCTCTTTGTAAAACACTTTGTTTATTGTTGTATAATTAAACCAGACTTAATTAAAGGGATGTGTTGCATTGTATTTGTTGACTTGTAACATTATAGATAAAAGGTGTGGAAAAGGTTAAATGTATGTTGGACACGAGCCCATATGTAGGTGCTGTCTTCCTTGATCTCAGGAAGGCTTTTGACACAGTTGACCACGTGCTCCTTACAAAGCTGACTCATTTCAATTTTTCGGCAGATTCAATACAGTGGGTTGAATCTTACTTATCGAACAGAAACCAGTGTGTTTTGGTCAACGGTGCAAAATCCCCCTTCCTTGTCAACCCTGTCGGGGTTCCACAAGGTTCCATTCTTGGACCATTACTGTTTTCTCTGTACATTAATGACTTGCCGAATGTATGTCCTGAGTTGAATGTGCAAATGTATGCCGATGATGCGGTCATCTTTATACACGGGAAAAACACTGAAATAATCACATCATGTCTCTCAAATGCTTTGGACAAGGTTCAACACTGGCTGAACAACATTTGCTTACAGTTAAACGTAAAAAAACAGTATGCATGATGTTCAGTAAACGACCAGTCAAAATCGAAGGATCCAACGTGTTTTTAAACGGAGCAGAATTATAACTAGTCCCCCACTTCAAGTATCTTGGAGTCATATTGGACTCGAACTTGACTTTTAAGAAACACATTAAGAAAGTATCCAATACTATTAAATTCAACTTGCAACATTTTAAACAAATTAGACCTTTCTTAACTGTCAATGCTGCAAAGTCATACCTCCACTGTATGATTCTATCCCACATTGAATACTGTTTTACAAACTGGTGGTTTGCTTGTGCCACAAACCTGAAACCTATAGAACAGCTGTACAAGAGAGCTATCAAGGTGTTTGACAGAAAGCCAAATTCATACCACCACTGTACCATCCTTGAGAAACACCATTTCTTGAGTTTTGACAATTTTGACAAGTCTTTTAAAAGTATGTGCTTTATTTATAAATGTTTACATGGACTGCCCCCCCCCCCCCCCCCCCCCTTAGGGGAATTCATCCACAAAAAACACACTGGACGCTGCACTAGGTCAGAAACCAGAGGAGACTGTGAAGTCCACCACAGACGGACCACTTTCTGTCAAAAGGTTCTTTCCATTAAAGGCAGCTCATTGTGGAATAGCCTCCCAACTGAGTTACGGGATTGTACCACTCTCAATAGCTTTAAAGGTCAACTCTAAGAATGGTTGAGAAACACACAGACGTGCAATCACCGCTAAATGCACTTTAACACAGGGGCATCTCCTCTTGCACTTTATGTAGCCCTTTTATCTTCTCCTGCACTTTATATGTCGTTGCTGCTATATTGTATTACCATGTCATAAATACTTGTGTATGCTGCTCTTGCTCTCTTGCACTTTTTGCATATCATGTATTTTTATGTTTTTGCTATGTTTGTAAAATGTAATTTTCTTAAATGTTTTATGTGAGGGATGGAAATGAGCTCAAAGCAAAATCTGGCATATTTACGCTTGACACATTTTATTGTTTTAAGTGTTCATTGATGTGCATTGTCCCTGCCAAATAAACGATAAAAAAATTACAGATTTCATTTCATTTCAAACCTTTATTTAACCAGATTGTCCCTTGAGATCATAGATCTCTTTTTCAAGGGAGACCTGCAGCAATTAGGTTCCACATGAAACATAAAACAACATAAAACAATAGAGGATATCATACAACATATTTACAAGCTACATTTACATACTTATCAACATTTACAAATACCCATAGTTTCAATGAGCATTTCACTTAGCCTAGCTTTAAAAACATTCAGAGGAATACAATTGCTCAGTTTTTAGCTGTAGATTGTTCCAAGCAAGTGGAGCTGCGCACATAAAAGCTGTCTTACCTAAGACAGTCCTTGCTCTTGGCACATCTAACAAGACTACATCATGCGATCTCAGACAATAGCTGCTTGCAACTCTCTGTGTTATCAGAGAACAGATGTAATACGGGAGTTTACCCCAACATAGCTTTATAAATAAACGTGTACCAATGACTGAGCCTTCGTACAGTAAGTGATGACAGACTTGCCTTGGCATACAGGGTACAGTGATGAGTAAGTGCTTTACAATTAGTGACGAATCTCAGTGCGCTGTGATAGGCGGCATCTAACTTGTTCAGGCAATGGGCAGGTGCATTCATATAGACCAGATCACCACAGGTAAAAAGGTCAGAGAGCCTTTTCCTGGCTTCAAAAGAGAAACAGGACTTGTTTCTGAAAAAGAGACCGAGCTTAACCCTCAGCTTTTTAAGCAGGTTATTGACCTGAAGTTTAAAAGTGAGACAATCATCAAGCCAGATACCAAGGTATTTGTAACAGGCAACCACTTCAAGTATTATTCCTTGCGCAGTTACAATATCCAAAGCAGTCTCTGGTGTCTTTTTAGCTTTTGAAAAGAGCATTACCTTGGTTTTATCAACATTTAAAAGAAGCTTAAGTTCAGAGAGCTGAGTCTGAATAATGTTAAAAACAGCCTGTAATTTAACAACTGCCTCCTTAATGGAGGGACCTGCACAGTACATCACGGTATCATCCGCATACAAATGTGAAGTAGCTTCATCCACATTGGTGATGATGAATCATTTTTCTATAAAACTTCCCCAATTTTTCCAACAGTCCAAGGTTACGTCATTGATTTCCATATTTTATCTATCTGACATTTCAAAACTGAAAGTTGTGTTACCCTTCACGTATGTCAAGAAAAGCAACAAATGGAAGATAACAAACAAAAAAATAAAAATAATGTAAAGATGTACTCGGTTATTCTCTTGCCGAGTGATTGTCTCAGCTCTGCTTTGAGTTTTCATTTCAGCAGTAATTACCAATACTTTGAATATGGATGAGGTTAGTTAGAGGGAAACATCGAAAAACTTTTACCTCAAACCTGACAAGCATCTGTTCAAAAAAACGAATAAATAACCTAAAAGCAGCCAAAATTCAAAACGTCAAAGTGTTCCTTTAAGGCAGCCGACTCCTGGCTGAAACTCAGGCCTGCTGTAGCAACCAAATCCTGGCTCTCTTGACTCCACGCAGCTCTGATTAATGGTAGAGGCTGTGGGTGGGTGGTAGACATGGATCTGCCCATTACCACACTGCAACATTGCAAATGGCTTCAATTACTGTGGAGTGTGCTGAGCTGGCAGTAGGGGCTCTAGGAGGCAAGATGAGCAACGTGCAGCATCCAGCAGCTAACCCCACTGTGATCCATTCATTCACACAGCATCCTCATCACCGCGTACATCCTCTGTAATTCACTTCAGCACAATAAAAGGTAGAAAAAGACAATAACTGTTCCCTTTTTTATTTTTAGCCGATAATTCTGGTGCTGTTCTTCTTTTGTTTCTAATCAATCTACAATAGAGGAGATATGTCATGAGTGAGGGGGCTGGATGTGTGAATGTAGGCTGAAACAACACTACATGGCCTCTCCCAAGGCCTCAGTTTCCCTACCAGGGAAAACGCTAACACTGTTTCCCTTGACAAACTGACTCGGCAGCACCAAACAGTAGCAGGACAAACTGAGGGGCTTGCCAAGTGGCTGACAAGTATCACAAGGGCCTGTGTGCCCACGCCTGCCCCCCACCCTGGCACCGGGGCAGCAGCGAGTCAGGGACAGCCTTCCTGAGCCAGAGCGAAGGGGATTCCCTACGATCACGCCCCTGTGTCCGGTGCCAAGAGAGCAGCCCCCCTGTAGCTCCTCTTGTAACGAACCAGCTGTCTCCATCAGTTCACTGACCCACATTCATAACCTTATCACAGGAGGCAACACCAGACTCCCACAACAGCCCTGCTCCACCTCTCATTGTTCACCTCCTTTACAACTTAAGTGATGGGCCGAGATGAAAGAAAAAACAACGACAAATTTGCGATCCAATTGAGTCAATGACTGCACTACTGGAAGTGGAAACCGATCATTAGGAGTCTCCCACCCACGACTAAATGCTCTCCCTTCGCAAATCACATCAATTAATGTCATGGGCTATGAAAAATGCTCTCTGTGTCATACCACATGGAGGGAGGACAGACGCTAATAAGTGAACATACTTAACGGAGGAGGTGGGGAGACATGGGATTCCCTCCGTTCCTCTTGTCAGTGCGGGAATATCGCGCTCATGATCAAGTGGAGGCCATAAATAATACAGCAGGTACATTGGATTCAACCAAACCAATAATAACTGTAAAATTAATTATTTTACTATCTATAAACCCTTACTACATGGAGGTTTTCATTCTTAATATGTCACAAGGAGTCTATTACGCTCTTCACAAGGGCTGTTATCCTCTTCACAATTGACCCATCAATCGAGACATTTGATTATCCAAGAGTGAATTTCTTAATTTCATTTCCCGTTGAATAGAAGAACAGTGTGCAGGAGAGAGGAAGTGAAACAGCGGGAGTTAAACTCATCCAGTGAATTAAGGATGGGTGGATCCACTCAGTTCAATCACTTCATAATGTGGGGGCAATGTGTGAGCCGGTAGCTGAAAATGCTCCAGTTTGTTTTGTTCAAAAAATATATTCAAATATTCTAAATAGCTGACTATTATTCATGCCTCAGCTTAACTAGTTCTGACACTGTGAATACCCTGACAATACCTTCCCAGATGTGAGTTCTGATACCCAAAAAAATACTCCGAAATACATCTATTCCTTTTCCAGAGATTTCAACATCAAACAGACATCAGCCTAATATGCCCCGATTGTTTGCTGACATAGCTGTCAAAACTTCAAACGGCGGAGACTGGCAGCATCGCTCATTCACGGACGTGGCGCTTGAAGTCTCACACCGCCCTGATCTCCCCTCAAATCACCGGCTGTGACCCGGAGTACAACAGACAGACGGGCACGCCTCCTGTGAGGTAACGTACTGTACATCCAAGAGCGGTCGCCCACCTCCCAGAGACTTTTCACCAGGGGAGGAAAAGTCGGAAAAACTAAACAAAAGAAAAACTCTGCTTTCTGCAAGACAAACACTGCTGTCTTTTGAGAGACAAACTTCGAGAATTATCTGGTGAAAACAGTAATGACAGTTTATTTAGACTGCTTCTGGTTGATAAGGATTTCAGGCGAACTAGACGAAGGTCAGGCAGACTCGTGCAGGTGTGCGTGGGAGCCAGCCAACAACACTCGCCTTGACCCCGCAGGCATTGAAGCTGCAGCAGACTTACGCGCTAACCTCATTAACATATCCCTTGTTAAGTTGAAGCACAAATTATCTTTCTAAGGCAACTCTGAATGCTTCGATTAAATGCTCATAATTGTTTGTGAATTATGCTTAATGACGTGTCCTGAGAAAACACAAGCGCAGACCACAAGCTTAAAGGTGGTTAGATGGTGGAGCATCTTGGGACATTATATAATAAATCAAATCACTAATAATAGAAGCTTCGGTCTAGGACACATTTGTTGATGCCTTACATGGAAACATTTCAACCTAAAGGATGGGTTTAGCCCACTCAAACAAATGAGGCAATACCAATTAAATATTGTAAAATGACACAACTTCCTCCTCAGGAAATAGAATAATCGACTCGCTCGTGATAACAAATATATGTGCAGTAGCCGATATAGGGTCCTGAAACAGAAAACCCATAACCACAAAAACTTGCAATGTGGTTAATTAGAGCTTAAATGTTTTGAGTTTGAATGCCTTGGTGCAATCTTTCTATTGCTGATTCAACAACTACAGTAAATGTTGTGTTGATCAGTGTTGGTATATGATAGATGATACTGCAGTGCTGTGAAGAGACGAAGCTGAGGAGCGGAGTCGTTACCGCGGGATGACTTCTCCCCCTCGCTGAGTGACACCGGTGCGTCTGGAAGCTGCTCAAACAACAGGAACTGGTAGCGGTGATAGCCAGATTTCTGAGGCGGGGTCGGAGGATGAGAGTCTGCGTGGAAAAACAAAGACTTAAAATCAGGAGAGCTGAGATTAGAAAACAATATACTGTATGCATGTGATTATCCCAATGATGCAACTCAAATCTATCAGTGGGATAACCGAGTGATGAAATTATTTACATTCATTCATCCTCTTAGTGCATTTGGCTTATTTTCTACATACAAATAAAACAATGGTAGCTGTGGTTCTGTCAAACTGTGACCATTAATTCCTAGTGTTCTTCAGTCACTGTGGCTTGTGGGTATTAAGTGGGCTTCAGTTTTTCATTTGGATAAAATAAACACCAACGCTTGAATACAGTAACAACAGCAAACTTCACTGTTTTAGGGTTCACGTCTGACTCTCTACTCTACTGTTGTTAATCCCTTTTCACTCACTCATACATGTAAATGTGGTAGAATTATACATTGGGTCATTAAGGGGTGAATAAAGGTAACTTAAACAGGATAACAAATACATAGAATTTAAGTTAAATTGCTGAAAAAGGCAATGAAATGGAAACAAATGACACCAAATTTAAATTGACTTACCAAGCCAAACCAAAAAACAGCTTACACAACATCAATGCGTATGAGTCACATCATTCAAATACAATAAATCAAGATATAATGAAGGGTCTGTGTCTGTCCTTCCCTGAGTGCACTGCCCTGTACATCTGACACACAGTTTGTCAGTCAAGGTATTTTTAAGAAATGTATGAAGGATAGGTCATTTCACCAACAGTTGAAATAAAAATACAGTGGGTCGTTACATTGCTTTCTACAGCACAATAAAATGCCCCTTTTTAGTTTTGTGCTACCACAGACAAATATTGTGCACCCAGCTCAGTGGTCAGTCCTTCAATAAGCACCCACTACCAACTACCAACTACAGAATGTGTACTTTTGTACAGTGATTTTTTTTGCAAGCATATATCCAAAAAACATTGAGACTTTGGTGATGATTCGAAAAAGACAATCATGTCTCGCTAGTAATCTAAAAATATAAAAAGACAGTTCCCATGCAAATTAAACAACTGAGTGGATTTCCAAGTAGCAATTTCCCATATTATTAATTGTATATTAACTTCCTGTTGCCTAGAAACAGCCACATGTCACTCGACGTGAAGCGCAGATATTTTCATCAGGATTTTCTTCTGTATATTTGTCAGGTTAAACTCCCTCATCTCCAGAAAAAGCACACAGTCAGGCACCTCGCGCTGCAAATTGCTCACAGGGATGTTTGTTTAATAGACTGCGAACCGGCTGCATCCTTGAGTAGGAGGAAAGGGACTAAATATGTTGTCTGTGAAACGGCCCAAAACCCACTTGAGGTAAGCGTGGAAGTCCCCATCACAGGCATCAAATAACTGCTCTCAGCACCTATTTCTGTCCTCCTTTCCGCACACACAGGCTCCCCCCACAGGGGGACGGAGGTACTGTGTTGCTAGACAGCATGCAGGGACAAAAGACATGCAGGACAATATTAAGTTGCATTTCTTTTTAGAGATGTAGACCTAAACAACTAAAAACACACAATGGTATTTTGTAGAGTTGAGCTTTTATCACTGGGACCAGCTGAAACATCTTTTGCACTTAAAAATGTTTTTTTTTTTTTTTTTTTTTTTTAAAAGGGAATGACATTTTTTATTTGTTAGAGAAAATGTGATCTACTGTAAGTATTTCAATACTACTCTGCGTTTAGTTTAAATTATTGACAGTAAGATTTACAGCTTGTTTGCTTCCTAGTAATATGAGGAGCACAAGGAGTCCACAAAATGCAGTTTGGAGTCGGTACAAAGTGCCAATTAAAATGTTACAACCCAATTTCCAAAAGTACATAGTGTGTCTGTAAATCTGCACCAGAATGAGTGAGATGCACTTTGTAATGCATTATAATTTTAGCATTTATATTTGACTGTTTTATAAAAAAGAAGTAGCAGCAGCAAAGCATGTGTCTTCTGTTGTGCATCATCTCATCTGTAATCCTGCTGTTTAGGAGGTGAAGCATTGAGTCTTAGAGAGCAGAGCACCAGTGTTTACACAGACTGGTAACATTCAGAAGATTAGCTTCGACTGTGAGCATCTTCATCCACTGATCAGTGAGAAAAAAAGCTTTATTTAGAAATAGCGAGAGTCCTGCAGCCTGCAGGATCCAAAACCCATTGCCATAGCAACAGGTAGTCAACATTTGAGCGTGCAACATTTTCCCACATCTTAATGCTCGGCTCTCGCTCGCTCTGCACGGCACCCTCTGCCCTTTTTATTTCATTATGATACATAGAATAAAAACAACAGCAAATGAATGCAGAATTGAAATTCAGCCAAACAATAAAAGTCAATCATGTGCAGAGCTCGCGGAGAATCACGCCTTTGAAAATAATAATCAGTTCGATGGTGATGGGGGTTTTATGTGCTCTGTCACAAGATGTGGAAAGTAGTTGATTACAAATACTTTGTTACTGTACTTACGTACATGTTTCTGGTATCAGTACTTTACTACACTACTTATTTTTCTCACAACTTTTTACTTTGACTTCTTACATTTTTAACACAAATACCTGTACTTTCTACTTCTTACATTTTCCAAACAGGCTGGTTCCTTTAGTTTGAATGTGTGTTTGGTGGCGTGATCATTATTATTTAGAGTCATTGCGTGCCTATTGATTTGAACACGATCCGTGTATCCATCATTTCCTGGTCTTCTCTAAAGAAGAGGGACCAATGAGAACGTTGTCATGTTGCCGTTGTTCAGCATGGAAACATTCATTAGCTAACAATGACATTATTGTTCTATTAATATAAAGGGAGGTCAGGTACTCTTTAAAACAGCTGGTAGTTATGGGTACTTTTTACTGAAGTACATTTCAAAACCCATACTTCTTTACTTTTACTTGAGTAAAGAAGTATTTTTAAACACGATCTGTACTTCTACTTGAGTAAAAGATGTGTGTACTTTTGCCATCGCTGCCCGTCACAGGAGCTGACGGGGCGTGTCGAGGTCGCCGACTCCTGATGTTCACCGGGGACTCACACTAATCTACAGGACATTTTCACATGGTGGGCGGCTCCCCCCTCAGGGACCCTGCTGTGGGGGCGGGACACAAGTTCTGACCACTAAGTGATTGACAGCCGCTTGCTGTGTTAATTGTGTTTTGTGTATTAGGAACGGTTCAGCTAAAAGCATGGTCTTCCATACATATATGAAACAACTGCATCTCTATAAAAAGAAATATAATTGCAAAGTTGAAATATTCAGTTGCATGGATACATTTGTTGACAAAAACAAACAGCTTATATAATAAATGAGATTTGAGATGACTGCAATGGTGCATTATTTGAACAGCTGGATTCATCATAGTTTGATCTATTGCTTCTTGACCCTGTTGAATGGTTTTCTTGGTAACCCCACCCTTGCAAAATCTGGAAATGATGATGAAATAGATTAGGGATATAATACAATTACAAGGATCACACAATGTACCCGCCAAGGAGCTGCCTAACAAGCACTCACATGGGTTTCTCATCTAAAATGCATTTCTCTCGGCATGGATGGTAGATGTCATGACATGACTGCTTGCATCCCTGAAAGTTTGTTATGTAGTGAATCCATCACAGCTTTGTTAGTGGAAATCACAAGCCACAAAGCTTATTGATGAAGGTAATCTAAGATCAATGATATCCTCAGATAGGTAGATACTCTGAGCTCAGGGTTAGAAAAGTCAAAAGCGCTGAGACTCCCCAATAAAAACAGCACAGTATTCACCTTTAGCAGAGATAACTATCTTAATAATAGGTACATGATGTATGTCATGAAACAAAGTATAGAACAAATGTATACATATATAGTTAAATGACTACATGTATTAAAGGGTTTGGTGAAAATGTGATGCAAGTAAGATGATTAAACGTTAGTTCTTATTAAGTGTATTCTGAAGTATATAATGGGATATATATGGGAGGCGTGTGGCGCAGTGGCCTAGTGCGTTGGTGTTTGGATCAAGGGAGCACAGGTTCAAACCCCACTGCAGTCAGCATGTCGTTGTGTTCCTGGACAACCCACTTCACCTCAAATTGCTCCTGTGGGGATTGCCCACAGTATTGAGTATGTAAGTCACTTTGGATAAAAGCGTCTAACAAGTAACATGTAATGTAATACCAGTGTCCAAACAATAAGGATCAATATTATAAAATTCCACAAAAAATGGTGTAACTCTCTTGCAGTACATACTGACCAACTGCGAACGGTTTTATTTTTGGATTATCTGTGCTGGCCTCAAGCTGAGGATCAAACTTACATTACATAAGGCAGATGATAGAGGGAAAAGTAGCTTAGACTATCCTAAATGTTACAGTATTGTTTCCTTATAATACAATTGCAAAGCATAGCATATAGACACTAAGTCTAAATCCACTATTCTCTGTAAGCAATGTGTTTCATCTGAAGCACTCAAATGTAAAAAGCAGCAAATATAAAAATATGTATATTTACCACGGCTGCTCTATAGCGTACTCCCGGCTGCTGTCTTAGTGTTTCATCTGTTGGAAAATGTGCAAGTTGTCATTTCAACAGCTGAAAGTTGTAAACTAAGAGCCGCTTCATTATCTATGCAGTTACCAAGGAACCCACTATCAGTGTTTCTAAATATCTCTCATTCCGAAGCAAGATTTTTAATTCATATGTTCATCAGTATGAAATTCAACATGTTGTCTAGTTTCAATCATTAACAGAGATTCATCTATACAATACGGTCTCATTTTATGGTCAGATTGTATATTTTGGAAAGTTCTGCACTCATTTTTATTATTTATGATAATTTATTTGTATTGATTTGGGTTTTTTACCAAGAGAGGAATGCTGTTTTCTTTCAATTCTGTTTTATTTAACTGTGAATTAAGCAAAAGGAGAATAACACAAATGACCTTCATTGAGTTCATGTGAGAGTTATTCAGTCAAACAAAATGTGACTATGTTTTGCATCCTTTACGAGGGGAATACCCATTCTTGTGGCTGTGGTAGTGAATCATGCTCCGAGCAGTGTGGGAGAGGCAGAAACTGACGGAGATAGAAACACTGAGGGCATCAAAATGGCTCTGTATTATTTTACATTCTTAACAGGAAAGAAGAACGTAGTCGGAAGGATTGAGTCGTGTCATTTGTATGAAAAATGAACTCGACTGGGAGACATATTATGGCACTTGAATAGGAGGAAGGTTCAACTCTATATAAGTCCTTGTTTCAGCTGTTAAATCACACACAAATATCTGATAAAAGACACAATCCAGACTGAACCATTGGCTTCGTATTGGCTGTACTGTGTTGACACTGCTGGAAACTTTCCAAACCTCTTTGTGGCAGCAGAGGGTGCAGAGAGTAGGGACGCCACCTTTCAAATAGAGGGTCTGAGTTCAAGACTCTGCAACAGGAAGCTTGTGGTCTGGGAATGAATCAATGAATGGTCCACGAAAAGACAAAGTCTCCACAAGCTGCTGACCCTGATCTCTGATCTGCCTGAGGAGGGCAATCATGGCGAACCACAGTGTGCATCTGAAATCTAAAAATAAGCGTACCATGAATTGGTGACATTTATCACCCATTGCTAAATGGTAGATTTATTCATTTTTCTCTGTTCTGTTCAAATGTAGAAGCAATCTAGCGCTTTAGAAAT